AATGGGGAGTCAGTGGATCACCTGCTGTTGCATTGTCCTATGGTTCATGATTGTTGGAGTCTCATTTTTGGTCTGTTTGGTATTCATTAGGTCATGCGTCGGACTTCTCGGGAATTGCTGGATATTTGGAGGGGCCAATGGGTAGGGGCTCAGGCGAGAGCCTTCTGGAGGGCAACCCCTTTTTGTGTTTGGTGGAGCATTGGAAAGAGCGGAATAGAAGATTTTTTGATGGGAAGGAGTCCTCCATTGGGGTGTTGAAATTTTCTATTATTTGTACTCTTTTTTGTTGGGGTTGGGGGAGAGATTTTTCCTCTATTGAGGATATTGTGGACCTTTTGGGCTCTTTGAGATCATAGGTTCCGCTTTATTTTTGTATAGCTTGGGACGCCTTCCCCTTTTGAACACCTTTTAATACATTTTACTTATCAAAAAAAAAAAAAAAAAAAACAAGTGTGCATCACCTTTCGGGAATGGGGTAGGGGAAATGGAAAAAATAAGCTCCATGACTTGCAGGGCAAGGACAACAAAGTGGTCTAGCTGTGACTCTCATGATTAGGTGAAACATGGTTACTTATTACATATTTACGTGTGGTATATGGTACTAAAATTTATGTTACGTGGACTTTGGTATTTGTGACGGGGATGGGTACGTGTCTAATCGTTGATTTTTTAAAACCCCCGAACCAAAAAACACAGTGCACATTGCTAAATATTCATGTGTGTGTGGAAATCTTCATTCATTTCTTAGGATTGAACCGTCTTTTCATGTAAATATTGTTTAGGACACTTCCCTTGTTTTTTAACAGAGATATACAAAAAGGAATATAATAAAAAAGTTCTATGTATAATTACAATAAACTATAATTATTAGATATGCTTATTTGGTTCATGTCCAGTAAGATTTCGTACATATATGTCATGTCCATATCAAGGTGTGATGTAGGTACTTTACAAGTCTAAAAGTGTCCATGTATCATATTTCAAAACTTCGTAGTTGATGTTAGGTATTATTAGTCATTTACATATTTGAAATACTGTTGAAGTATAATTAATACACAAGTTTAAATACATGGCTGTAATTTTTTGTTTCCTGTATATATGCGTGTCAATATTACCTGTCTTTTTCACAAAATTTGGGACAGTTTTGGTGGATATTGCTGCACTCTGATATGCATACTTGACGCAATATAAAATTAGCCGGACTACGTCGTCATCAGACTCATGCTATATAGCTGGACATTTCTTGTGTGTCACATTTGTCTTGTCAGAGAGCGAGACATCATGCAACATGAAGGCATTTTGCCTATGCAACTTCTGAAACTTAAAAAGTTGGATCTTCTCGGTGACCTTTCCAACAAACGCCAGTTATTCTATAGCGACTCGAATTTCATATAGTAGTTTTTTCTGTTCTTCAGCTCTTGAAATTTTATATAGTTATTTCTTTCTTTTTTTTTTTTTTTTTTTTTTCCTAGTTGGGAAACTCACACACACTGCCTCCACTGAGGTTCGAACTCCTGACCTCCCTTTGGGAAGTAAGAGCCTGATACCGCTTGGCCACAGGCCTGTTGGTTTTCTCCCACAAAGCTTCAAACTAAGTTAATTTACTTCTCCGACCATTAAATGCCAAATGATCATGGGCTTCTTGGGCTTGATACTTGGTTTCATCAACTAAAAAAAATAATGGTTCTCAAGATCGCAGTCCGGCTTGTAGGATCGTACTATCTTACAATCCAAAGTTGGCAATTAAAATTGTATAAAGGATCGCAAAGCTTAGAATCCTTGTGGGACCAATATAGGATTGTTTCTTTTGTTTATTTATTTTTTTTCTTCGTTTTCAGGGAATGTTATTCTCTTTGGGCCTCCAATCCCAAATCTATCAGAAACCTACGGTTCCAATTTAAAATCATATAAAACCAAACCCAAACCTGATCCGAAATGTATAACTTCTTAATAACATATATTAGGGCTCATTCTCACAATTACACTTAAGGCGAAGCAGCAGGGCCAATTTGCATCTGCACGAGCAACAAATAACATCGAATCTCCTGCCCACAACTTCCAACAAGTGCAACCAGCAGGATATTTAAATATTCTATGGATCTGAAAGTTTATACAAAACGATTTCTTGAGATACGGTTTTTGTTTTGTATTTCTTTCTTTCTTCTTACAGTTTTAAGATTTTAAACTTCTTTTATTTTTGTCCTTTGTGCTTCCTCTTATGTTACCAATGTCATGCGTATTTTCCCTCCTCTTCATTTCTTCTTCACTGTTTCTCCTTGTCTGCTTGGCCTCATTAAATTTAAACGGGTGTTATGTTAATGGGTAGAAATCTAAAAAAAAAAAGAATGTATTCTTCAAGTTTACATCAGAACTTTGAAATTCAGTTCATAAACTTTACTCTCTAATTACAATGATGTTTGACAACTTTTGTAATGAATATAGAGACATGGACTTTTTTAATGGGCTATTAATCACCCTGTTTTTTTTTTTTTTTTTTTCTCAAAAAAAAATTTCCTTTTATATATTTTTCTTCTTGTTATGTACTTCATTCTGCACATTCTTTTATAATTGCTTAAACTTTATGTAAATCTAATGGAAAAGGATGATGTTTGATACCTTATGTCCTCTGGTGGTACTATTGGTGGTGGTACTATTGGTGTTTGGTGTTTGATACATTGCACCAATTAATTTCCATTCAGAATTTTGAAAGATGCCGAGAAAAGGAAAGTAGATAAGCTTAAGTGATAATTTACTTGAGTGAACTTGCCCATACGTACATGTCCCATATGTTTGTAATATTATTATTTTTACATGTTTTAGGCATGTTCGTTGTCCACCTTAAAAGATTTTTTTAGTTAGATGTACAGTTTTAATACATTTTTTCCTCATATTTTGTGGGATCTTTCTATCATCGATGAATCCTTCTGTTGGTCCAACATAGGATTCTGCTTCTACCAACCTTGATATAACGTTGTCTTTTCTCCTCATGATGGCGTGGACAAGTTAGTGCTATATGTCATAGTGTCAGAAGGATGCCATCCAAGTATGAAACTAGATTGATGGGGAGAGATGAGTTCACTAGGAGGGTCAGGGTTCATTAATTATCCATATCTTGTAACGATTTTGAAAGGAACAATGAAAGAACTTATTGGCTTTAAGTTGGGTCACACTTCAAGCATGGGTATAAAAACAATAACGGTTCATTAAGTTCCTTCCTAATAAACCCATTCTCGAACGCATTTGTGATTATTTTAACAAATTGTCTGGACTCATTTGTTCTAAGGCCTCTGGAAGAAGGCAGCCTGGAGTCCATTTCCTGGAGCACTTTCTTCACTAATTTCATGAATGGGGGCCATTAGGGACTGTTTTGTGCTTTGGTTAAATGTGTAAGCTTGTTGGATTTTTTTTTTTTTGGGGGGGGGGGGGTTGGCGGGGTGTGGGAGAGACTTTGTTGCTTCATGGATTGACTGGTAGTAACCAATGGCTAATTGTGTGTGCTGATCTGATCAGTTCACCGATTTCCCTCAAGAATGATATTGTCCCTCCATCTGATGAGGGTAGTAATGAGGTGATCTCCATCCTAGACTTCTGGAGCAGGTGGGAGTTCTCCTAGTACAAGGCGTTACGATAATCAATTAACACAAGCATATATATATTTTGTAACATAAACAATTGACAGTCATGAATCCCAATTCCAGTCAGCCCTTCAATTCTTCACTACATTGGGAACAAGGTGGAGGATGGAAAGTAGTACTCCCAAGTCCCAAGCTTATGAAGCTTGGATCTGTTTTGGCTGGTTACATCCTCTCAAAAGGGCAGCACCCGAAGCAGGGAGGACTAAATCACCTTCAAATCAGCAGAGATGGTCATTGGTACCAGTAGAACCCTCATCTTCACCTCTATTTGGTCGATGAAGTTGCCGCCTTGACTTGGTCAGTCTGGACATTGGGAAGCTCATGTATACGTACATGCACCAGGATTTGTATGAGGGTCATGTGGTAGGGGATTACTGGCAGGAGTGGGACTGGTGGAAATAGTAGGTGCTGATAAATTATTTGGATGCATGGTGATTGATAGGTTGGGTATATAACAGGGTGGTTCTGTTTTGTTCATGTCAGAGTAAGGTGTCAATCTAGACTTCTTTTGGTTGTTGCGTTATCTGGGATTGAAAAGAGCTGCTGAGTTTTGGGCTGAGTGTCTGTTTATGGTTAAAGGTTTTTAAGGTTGGGGCTTGCGTGACATTAGAATGACATGAGGTTCATAAGGTTGGATTTGTAGTCAAATGTCAAACACCATTTTGTCACAGATTCTGGGTTTGCCTTTATTGATCAGTGCGTTCAAATTAACCATTTTGCTTCTGGTTGGGTAGAGGTTCAGGTTTTTCAGCAAATGTCTATTGCTGTATATTCTCTCTCCTATTCTTCTTCTAGCTATCATTCAAGGAACATAATTAGGCCACTTATTTCATGGGGCATGAGAAAAGCATATCATCAGTAAACCCTAATGCTCAATGTGTTGGCTGTGTTTGCCTAGATAACTTCCCTTGTGAGGATATTGTTCCAGTGGTCAGTCAACACTCTGTTTCCACTATCAAATTGACAATGATTGTCTAGACTTCACTGAAATCTTTTAACTGCCATATTTGCAGTTCTGACGCAAACATTTTTTGAGGATATCTTATTTACAGATTGTTTGGAATTATGATGCTACTTTTGGACAATAAAGGAATAGCCTAAAATGATCCATAGACTACTGTCAGGTATAGCAAAATTTAAATCCTCTTGGTTGGAGGTGACTTCCTGCTTCCTGAAAATCAGTTAAATAACATTCTGTTGTTTTAGCTGCATATCTTGAATTCAAGATGGTACTACTACTAATCCAACATGACGTACATTATCTTTTTTGTATTGATGATATTGAATAGCATGTTTTTTCTTCTTCTTCTTCTTCTTTTTTCCAGATATTGAATTCTATCAACCACTTCTTTGTTCCATGCTTAGGTAAAGGAGATTATGTCTCACTATCCATCCAACTACAAGCAATCTGCAGTGATTCCTCTGCTTGATCTTGCGCAACAGCAGCATGGAGGTTGGCTCCCTGTTTCAGCAATGAATGCAGTATGTTTATTGCAAGTTGTGTTCTTCTGTATACATATTTAAGTATATCTGAATAAGTTAATATCTCTAGGGAGAATCTTTTATACATATGATATCAGTAACTAGATCAATGTATCATACATGATAAGTAACCATTGCTGAGTCCAAATCATCTTTATTTGGTTAACTTAATGTCTTCTTTAATGATTAATCCAGAATATCAATATGGTATTCATTAATTTGGTTGTGTTATTGGTTGATATTATTCATGTCACAATGTTGAATGGAAGTCCAAGCCTTGCAGTGGTTTACCTAGCATGAAGGCAGACCTGCACTTCAGTTTTAGGATCATCTTTTTGTGATTGTAGTTTTTTAGGCCAACCAGGTTTCACTTTAATATTCATTTTAAACATCATTTTGTGTGACATTTTCTTGGATTGAATATTTGATAATATTTTCATTACTATATATTTTGCCATATCTATATTCCTTTTACTTTATCCTGTTCCACAGGTGGAAGTTCCAAAAAATACTGAGGTAGCTCTAGAAAAGACTCCATTGCTAAATTTTTTAAAATTTTGATACATTGGGTGGATTTCTCCTTTTTTTTATCTTCTTTTTTTCTTTTGAAAGATTCTTTAGTTCCTTATTGCGGAATACTAGAAAAATTGATCCCTTTGAAATTCTTGATCCAAATATTATTTCACTAAATATTTATGATGGTGGTATGAGCTATTTCACCATGCATAATCAGAAAGTTCAAGGTTCCTTATATTATCATCTTCTATGATCTTTGATGAATCACCAATTTTATGCTAGGAAGCTGATGTGCTCGAAACACCATCAGAAAATTCTACTCATCAAATCTTCTGGTAATATCTGATGAATTTAATAATAAAAAACTAGTCATTACTGCTACAGGCCTTATAGCCCTTTTGTTGTCTTTAAGGATACACATGCTGTTGGGATGGGGGTTCAGTCCCATTAGATGTCTTTTTTAGAATAAGAATGATGAATTGATGGTTATTACCACCACAGCCCTTGTAGCCCCTAGTGGTATCTTGAAGGATCACCCATGTTTTTGGGATTGTTTTCATTTGAATAAAAAGACCCATAGTCCTCTCCTCTGTTATAGTACAGGCATGTAATTCATTTTGTTGTGATTGATACAGGTTGCTAAGGTTATAGAAGTTGCCCCTATCCGTGTGTATGAGGTCGCGACATTCTATTCAATGTTCAACCGAGCGAAGGTAAGGAAGTTGTTGGTGTTTTTTCTACTACTTCTCCAATGAATAATATTCACATTCTAATACCAATGTCTGAACCATTACATATTGTTGCAAGTTGTAGCTTGAGCTTTACCCACATGAATGTTTTTATGGATTTGCAGGTTGGCAAATACCATCTTTTGGTTTGTGGCACAACACCATGTATGATACGAGGTTCACGTGAAATTGAAGATGCATTACTGAAACACTTGGGAGTGAAGCGCAATGGTCAGTCTTGTCAACATATTTAGTATATTTTCTCTGATTTCGCATTTCACTGAAACCTCAAGGGAAGTTCGTGGAAGTGGAATCTTAATTGCATTTCAAAATTTTAATATGCAGAAGTGACAAAGGATGGCATGTTTTCTGTTGGAGAGATGGAATGCATGGTGATCTCTTTTTACTCGTATAGTGGTCTATACCTGCATTTTTCTTGTGGTTTGAGCACTTTTTTTTACAAGATGAAGTTTTTTAATTCGTGCACCCAAAACTTTTATAATTGTTCTTAATAAATAAAAAATCCATAGAAGGCAGGCTTCTTACACTTGGTATGGCTTGCTTTTCTCTCTTGTTTCTCCTATTGTTACCTGATCTTAACATCCTGGAAATCCTAAATGGGAATTAAGAGAACGTCTTTTAAGATTTTTATCTTTTTGATATGAGGTAACTGGTTTGGCACAATTCATTGAACAATATTATATTGTTGGTCTTCAGGGGTGTTGTGTAAATGCCCCCATGATTACGGTGGCTGACTACTCCAATGGATCTGAAGGCTATACCTACAATTACTTTGTGAGTACATACACATAACCTCTTCTATTTGGCATGCCACTCACTAGTACATACGCCAACTGATTGAATGCTTTGGGACTTTTACATGTGTCTCTTTTGTTGGTGGGCTGCAGGAAGATGTCACTCCAAAGCGAGTTGTTGAGATAGTTGAAATGTTAAGGAGAGGAGAGAAGCCACCGGTAAACCAGCTGTATTCTGTACATTTAGTTTGTTGTTTGATTAGGGATATTTTAACTTCTTGTCTGATTTATCGTTTACATTTCAGCGTGGTACACAGAATCCGCAGCGCATTAATTGTGGGCCAGAAGGAGGGAACACTACTTTGTTAAGCGAGCCTAAGGCTCCTCCCTGCCGGGATCTTGATGCCTGCTAATATTACAGTTGGTAATGTTGTCTCCAATAATGCAAACCTCGGATGTTGACAGGCATCCCTAGCTGTGAGCTGTTTGTTGACTCTTAAAGATGCTCAATGATTTTTTGTTTGAATGCTAGTGTAGTGTCTGGGAACCAATCAAGTTTGTCTCCTTTCCGGTAATGAGTTATCCGTGTTCACTTTGCATTTTCATGCCAATGCGAATGTCATGTATTGACTAAATAAAAACCTTGGGGCAGCAGTCTAATATGGTGAGCATGAAACATGCACCTTATTCTTGATGATTAGCATGAGATGAAATTCTAATGCTAGCATGAAAACCTCCATGTTTTTATTGATCAGAGTGTGATGGAATTATGATCTCCTTGACCTTGAAACAAATGTGTATCATGCATTGGCAATATTTTATATTTTGGCTTGCGAAGAGCGTGTATGTTTTTTAGTTGCTTCTTATCAACCTGTTAAGATAGTGCGCTTGCAATCTCTTGAACTAGTACACCAAAGACCCTCTGTGAGTAATTGTTTTATAATTGTGAAGAAAACTGCTTCAATTGATGACATTGACATCGCTCCACAACCCTATCACAGTTGTTGGTGTATTCAATTGCATCCCAACGGTGACCTGAATCTGAATTTTTAGAATTTCTTTGATGATTTTTGTAAAAAATCATGGAAACCTGAACGGGACTTTAACAATGTGTAACTTCTTACATTGCATGTAAATTCTGATTTTACCAGTGACAAATCTAATTTCAACAATTTGGACCTAGATTAAACCTAACTGGACTTAGCAATGTTTAACTTACATTGCATGTAAATTCTGATTTAAGAAGGGACATGTTCTCGAATAGGGCAAAATGATGTGAAGTCAAGGAGGCAAAAATATAATAGCTAATGATAAGTATGTTTCACAGTATTTTTAGTACTTACTAAAAAGAAGTATATTGTCTAACTGGAACCTAAAAACATTCCTTGGAGAAATCTTCTAAAAGCAAGTTTATTATGAGCGCAGTTCGATTTAATTAACTCCCTTATGCCGATGCTCAGTTGGCAAGATGCAACCTACAGCAGCAGTAAGACTAACCCAGAACCATACGCTGCTTAGAAATTCACACACCTCCTCCCCAAATGATTTATACTCCAATAATGATTTATACAAGTTGCGTTTCAAAAAGAAGTTTTGACTTCTTTTTCAAACAACCCACTCACCCTCAAGAAAGACCAAGAATAAGTAGCACTAATTATTTCCCGTTAGACTACTAGAGAAGCAACTTTTAGAGACAACCAACCATTATCCATTCTAACCAAGCATTCCATTCTACGAAACAAAGCACATTGCATACAATTACATAAATATATGTACTTATCCATCTCTTTCCAAGGGCCCCACCACCCACTACCAAAATGAGAGCCCCCACCACAAAAGCGTTCCCGTCATCCACCACTAGTACATAAAAAGTAGTATAACACATCAGAAGAGCTTTTGACATTTCTGCTCTACTTGAATTTGGCATTAACAAATGGGGGTGCCTGCATTATTTCAAACATGACATCAAACCCTATTTTGACAAAAGCTGGCACAAAGGAAAAAGGTGGAACTGTGGCATCTGACTTCGATTGCAATTAACGAGTGGGGGACTGGACTAATTCATGGGATTGAATTGGGACTATTATGTAGGGACCAATAATCTATAGGAGATATTATAATGGGACCATGAGAGATCTGTGCCCTTTCCCGAGGCTTAGGACGGGGGATTCGTTTCAGGCTTGACTAGTGTGGCAGTGTCTGGTGGTTGCTGGTGGTAGATTGCCGAGGCGAGTGAGATAGGCATGATGCAAAGTGCCTTGGACTGAAGAAATTGCATAGCAGCGCCCACGTTTTCTTCCATTAGCTTAGCCACCTGTCGTTCAGTGCCATCATTTGACCACTTCTCCCAGGCTGGTTGGTTTCTTCCACCTTCACTTGTTTCTTCCTTCAATACAAAATAAAAGTAGGGTTAAAATATATTAGGGAAAAGGAAAGGAATTCTGCAACATTTAATTTTTGCTTGTTACCTCAATGGAAGATATTGGGATATCCGTCACAAGTGGTGCCACTGCACCAGCTCCACCTAATCTACTCATGCTCAAAACCTGTGAAGGATGAAATAAATATAAGAGAGAGGTGTATTAGATTATAATGCAAAATGAGAGCTGATGTTTAGACACCCTCCTTTAGTCATTTTGTAGGGATCTCTGAACCTACGTCACTGTAAAGTAACTATTATATTTCATAGCAATTCAATGGTGGGTAAAATTGACCTCTTCATTTGTTACACATCAAAAGCCCAAAAGAACTCTAGGGTAATGTACCTTCACTTGGAGTCGTAGGAACTTCACATAGTCCACAATTTCATCAAGCATGGCAGCTCTATCCGACTGTACAAGCAACAATGGGATGCCAACACTTTAGAGAGAATTGATTGAACAATAAGCTTCAAGTTTGGTAAATTCAGAACCATGCATAGTTATAAGATCATAAATGATTGTCGATGCATAGAATACAAAACAAGCTCCCATCAAACAGACAGAAGTATCACTTTTTTATGTGCTATTAAGTAACCAGATTAAGTATTTAATCATTTAACTCTGAGGTCCCACAAGGACTAAGAGCATGGAAGTCATATTTCGCTGTAATTGCTACGTAGAAAAGAAGTAATTTCAGAACAATGGCATTTTCTTCCATGCAGTTGGAGAAGAAACAGCATATTCAGTGCAAATAAAAGGAAGACGCGATGCCTACAGCTATTTCAGTTCTAGGCATTGTTGCCCATAGCTCCTGCATACAATTTAATAACCAGTTAACCACATAAGAGCCCCCAAAATCCATATTGAGCACTCCTGAGACAAGACAGTATTCCAAATAGTTCAAGCATGGCAGAAGGAACACACCCCCTAAAATGTTCAATTGAGAAAAGGTAACTAGTTTTGGAAGGTAAGAAATGGTAAGAGTCCTAATTTTTTGAGATTCAGCAATGCAATGTTGAGATATCATAGACAGCTTCTGCTGCTCTGCATGTGCTTCTACAAATTTTATTAGTTTCGGACCAAATAACCAATACTCTTTCAAACATACAACTGCTCTTACATGAATATAGAGATATTCACTTTTGAATGATATCCATAACATCTCCCACCCATTTAATTTTGACAAGATTCCTTATTCTACAAAAAATGATTTATTTGGACTTGGATACCTATATCATTTAGTGCCTTACTTTCAAAGGTAATACAATACTCCAGATTGAAGCCATAGATCAACAATGCATGCCAAATTATATTTCCACCATATTCAATTTCATACCAATAGTATCTACCAAAATAAATAAATAACCATTCCAATAATAATTAGAAATCAAAGAAGCTTAAATTTCAAACTGACGGGCTGCCTTACTTCAGTTAATATTTGAATCATTTTTTAGCTGGAATTTTTTTCACTGTTGACATTTAGCAGCAACGATTTGAAAATGACTACTAATATATATTTTTTGATAAGTAAAACTGACAACTAATAGTTGTTCATACAATATCCACTCACTATTATAAGAACAAGAATAACAATACTAAACTAAATAAGAAGTGTGAACAACAACAACAACAATAACAACACTAGACTAAATAAGAAGAGTACATAGATATTCTGATGATTGAGCAAGAAACTTGCATCATAAAGAAACCAAGTGTTGTAGTTTAGTAGTATCTCCTCTACCTTCCAAAGTGGACGGTGATGGTTTAAGTCGCCATAGGGGCAAATGGGTGTGTGGGTTTCTTGCCAAGGAAAAAAAAAAATTTAAAACTATTTGTAGTTAATCATTAAACATAACAGAAACTAAAAAAAGAAACTGAGTACAGCAAAAGGAGACAGTTTTGGGGATTTCTAGAAGGTCATATGAGATCATCTGAGAAATTCAGAAATGGGTTGAATGTCAGAAAAAAGAAAATGAGAAGAGAAAAGGTTAGGCTGGTATCATTCCGTCCAACGGTCCAAGGGAAGGGGACTTGATAGCCTCACCGAGAAAGAGAGAGAGAGAGTTGTATCTAATTTCTTCTACTGCATTCAATAACGAGAAAGGAGCCTGAATATAAGATGCAGAAAATACAAACTTGCTTCACAGATGAACCAAATCGAGCAATCATGACAAAAGAATGAGAATTGGAAGTCCAGAATGTCCCAACGAAAAATTCCCGCTAACAAATAGACTAGAATAATAATACAGGCATCGGATGAACATGTCTCACCTGCCCACACCAAAATTACATAACAAACCAAAGAACACCATGAAAGCAACTTATCAAGAAGAAGAAAACAAGGAAGCAGAAGAATACATGTAAATTACACAACATCCACCTAAAACTCATGAAACGTGTACATGCAGCAATTGGCAAAACAAGTTCGCAATTATTTAAAAAAACAATTTTAAAAAAGGTACAAGTACAGAATTAAGAAATTCAGTGCCCGAAACTCTCTAAAATTTTTAGATGATTTTGAGTATGATAATTTAGTGCCCAGAATTTGTTTTGTTAGTGAAATGCATAACCTAAATATGGTAAATGGTTAGTTCAACTCACATTGCCTTTAGGGTCAACCCACATGATGGGGCATCTTATTAAGCACAAATATGTCTAGCAATGAATAAAATACTAGATGAAAAACAACCAACATTGTGCCAAAAATGAGATTTATAAAATGACAAAAAGGAAAAGAACACTAACCTTGTTGACACTGGGCACCAAATCTTGCAACAGCCTAATCCTTTCAGCAATTCTTTCTCTACGTAACTGTACCATACGAAGACAACAGTTGGTAATTATATATAACAAGACAGTAAAGGACTAACAACCTTAAAGGAAAAAATTTGCACCAAAACTAAGTTTCACAATATTAGAACTACTCAATGTTGCTTCTGAAATTCAATACATTTCAAATTCTTAGACGGGTGTAGACCTCACGTAAGGAAAAAAAATTGCATTAATTTGGTATCGCTGGGAAGGGGGAAAAAATCCACCTCAGCGTCATTTTCATGGGGGCTATAAAACTTCTCTTACCTTGTGCAGAAGAGAACAAAAATAGTTACTGCCAGTTCATATGGATATGTGTAAATTGTTTTAGCAAACAATTATGATCGGAAGACCTTATATCATTCAAATCAACCAACTTACAGAAATTATGTTTTCAGTACAAGAGGAAGAAAGGGAGAAGTAATGAGTCAATCCTTTGAAAGCCCATGTTCTAACCCACAGAAAACCTTGAGTGTGTTATATATTATGACGGCCCAACTATCAATTGCCACAAAGGACTTCTAGGCATCAAAAACTTTTGTTGTTGTTAATAGTTATAAGAGATATCATGCATCTTTGAAACAGGGAAACATCTTTCCAATACCTCCCATTCCAAAAAAAAAAAAAGAAAAAAAAAGATATCATGCATCTTTGCTAGTTGGTGGCAAATAAAATCACTTCCAGAAAGCCCGAAAAAAAAATTGTTTGTTGTTGTTATGTGGTGTGTATTATGTCAAGCTTACCCTCTCAGCAATGCTGTGTGGGTCCGTAGCCTGTCCTCGTCTTGCCCTCACCCTTGGACGAATTGCAGGTGGATGTGGCACTGCAGCAACTGTGCTAGACATTGGCTGGCCATGGTAAGCCTGCTGAAAATTTGCAATTTCATTATTAAATACACCAGTAAATGGTAAGGGAGAGAGAATTTCACCCCTTGAATAAACAAAGCAGCTCATTTGCAATTTTGTTAAACAAATATAAGTCAATCTCAAGCGACAATGTAATATTGCCAACAGCAGCAACAACAAGAAGATGAAGAAGACAAAGAAGAGAAGCACAATGCAAGAACACAGTTTTTGAGATTGTTGTCCTTCAAACTCTAAATGGAGTATACCACAGGACAAAAGTTTTTAAGCACTTGGTGTAACAGGAATATACTCTGTGAGACTGAGAGAGGCTCTACACGTCCAAACACTAAGATAGTTTCATCACATGCACAAAGTCTCTTAAGCCCTCACCTCCCCTAATTACAATCATCATCTTTGAAATCAGCTTACAAGGTTCTATAAAAATACTGGAAAACACAAACTGTTCAAACTATTATGAATTTCAACACATTCATTCATACTCAACTCAACAAAAGCCTTTTCCCAACTACACAATCCTAATCTCCTATTCACTCTATCTCAAATGCTCAAATAATTATTGTTTCTATGCTTCGGAAATATGATGCTCATTTACCTATATGGGTTGTACCCTGTCTAGTCACACATCACATGTCAAACTCTTCAAAATTGCAATCATCAGTTTGTTATCATGCTCTTTATTCTTTAATGACATGTCTATGGCACAGAAAGCATATGAAAGGATAGAGCTGTAATATTGCAAGTTTGTTATTAAAATATGAAGAGAACAACCATCAAATTTCTATTAAACTATCAATAGTTAACACTTTTCCATAACAAAATAACCAAACTTAACAATTAAAAAATTTTCTGAATATAACACCTCATTTCTTCTTTTCCCGATCATTACTTTCCAAAGTATTGAAATCTGGAAACCCGCATTTCGACTGTTCACAAAAAAGTGTTTATTTATTTTCTGTTCGATTTATCCAAGCAGTGTAAAAATGCACTGGTCTATGCCAATTTAATGATTCAGACATATGTGTTCCCTTCACAACTCATCAGTCAAAACTCGTTAGCTAACTCAGAGTTACAATTAACAAACTGATAGTACCTAAAAGAACCAATAAATCCCTATATCCACAACAAACACACATACACATACATGAGTGCGTGTGCGTGCGTGTTTGTTTGTGTTTGTGAGAGTGTATGTGTGTGAGAGAGAGTACCAATTCAAGAAAGCCCACAATTCGTAGCCGACGGAACGCAAGATAACATTTGACACCCAGCACAGAGTTTTCTAATATTTTGTTTTCTTGAAATTATTTCAAAAAATAAAAATAAAATAAAATAGAATAAAATAAAATCTCTTGTTCCACTGTTTTCTTAGCAATCTATAGGCCATAATCGAAACAACCACTACTTCCTACTTAGGAACTTACATTTTTCACTGAAGAAGAAACTGCTCTCCCATCAACAATATCGTCGCGAAACCGCTTCCCGCTTCCCGACGCTTCATCCACCTTCATAAACCCTGCTGCTTTTCCTTGGTCCAAACTCAACCCTAACGGAAACACCGCTCCGTGAAAGCCACCACCTCCGCCTCCACCGCCGAGATGAGCGGAGCCATCGCCGGAACTCAGCTGCAACATCATCGGAGCCGCAGCTGTTGCCGCCAAATTAGCGTCGGCTTCGGCGTAAGAAGGAAAGCCGAGGATTTGCTCAAGAAAATCATCGGTTGGACCATCCGAGGGATTATTAGCCATGGCGGTTATGCGGCTGAGTCGATGTGTTGTGGATCGTTGAGCCAGCAAAAGTCTTCAAGGAGTTAGGGTTTCCAAAGAGCATCGACAAGCAGAGGTTTCGGAAAATAAAATCAAAGAAGGTTCAGGTTTGTCATATATAAATATACACACTGACACACATACATTACACACACACAGGTTTTTATCTTTGTTTTGGGAGGTCTGAGCTTTTGGCTTGAAATGTGTTTCTACTGGGTACTGAGAGCAAATAAGAAAGATGGCATTCGAGCAGAGGGGGCCAAGAAAAGCGGATGGTTTTTCTACTTAAAAGCGGGATGCATTTTCTAAAAGGTACTACTTTTCGTCTAATTTACAAATTGACCATTTCATTTTCTTTTGGGCCTCTTGTTTTGATGACGTCCCATCTTTCACTTTAATCCTACGCCGTTTTGGGATTTTTTTTTTTTTGGTACATACTATCATAGTCTCACGTACATTAATTCTGCGTGCCGTGGCCATGTTTTACACAAGCACGCGTGTTCGTGTGGATAGAACACGGTCGCATTTTTCAAAGAGGGTTGCTTAAAATTTTTTGATTGAATATGGTGAGAACACGTTAGGAGAATTTGAGACACGGGAAATGAGTAACAATTGAATTATTTTTTTAAATACACACACAATATATATATATATATATATATATATATATATATATATATATATTAATATTATATGCAAAATGTTTGCACCCGAATTGGCATTTGGTTGCGCGGTCTCACAATGGAACTCACAAAGTCACAAGCCAGTGCAGCGACCTGATGGAGAAAAGCATTGGGGTTGAGAGAAACTTGGAGTTCATTCTTGCTTTTATGAATTAGCCCAATCCAATTGTTTGGGGTCGAAAATATCAAAATTATGCTTTTTGACTGAACCTTTCACTTTGTTCTTCCCAACACTTGAGCATGCTAAAGTGATGGAAGTGACAAGTATAGTTGACGAGGCATTTGAGTGTCTGAATTTATTGGACAACATATTGGTGTCACGCTGCTATAGGAGATGGAGTAACCTTTTTTTTGCAATAAATGCGGTAATCAAGATATGAAGTTCAGACTCAGTTTTCTTTCTCACATGTCAATTGTCAGCTAGGAACCATCTTAGCCGTTCATGAGATTCCAATCCAATGATCGATATTACAAGACCACAACTATAAACAGAACTAATTTATGTCTCATCAAAACACTTGACATTTTATATTGTCGCCCTTTGTGGTCTTTAACATTTAACGCTCAGTTGCAGCTAGTAAACCTTACATTTTATCAATTGTACTTAATGTTTTCGATTCTAACATAGCATTTATTTTCAATCCTAGGTTAACATTTAATTTGTTGGATTTACTGTTTTCTTTCATTAATCCTGTAGTATTAAAGCTTTAATTTTAAGTTGTAGTTGTATAATTAATTTTTTTATTTTCCGTTAGGTTAGGGGTAAAGCGTGCTTAGTACCAAAACCTTGTAAACAATCTAGTCTTGTAACCAATCTTCACCTGCATTAATAGTTAATGACGAGAAAGTTTCTTTTTATTGAACCGTTATAAGTCTCTCCCTATCTTTCTCTCTCTCTTTCTCAAACATAAAAATACAAAAACAACTCTTACTATCAACAGAGCCCTTTGAAGTAATAAAAATAAAGACACTTATTTCTTCACTCTACATTTGCCGCCAAACAAGGCAAAATATATTACTCACGCAATAATAGCACTAGAAATATTTGCTTGGCTTTGCATAGATCGGCTAGCAGGTGAGAAAACTCATGAGCACCCACTGCCGGGCATGCTTTGAGCTAACAAAAAAACATTTTATAATTTCTGCGGTGTCCCAACTCCCAATTCCTTTATTTTTTTTAAAAAAATATAGTTTCTTATAACTTGTTTGTGTCTTTATCTATATTCATACTTTATAGGTGAGTGTTTCGAAGGATTTTTTTTTTTTTTTTTTAATAAAAAAAAGGGGGTGAAGTGTAAGTGCACAAATGTGACATTAGAATACAATCATTTCACAAAAACACCTTCTCTACTTGTTTTTTATTTTCTTAAAGGAAATGGTATTATTAATTTATAACCCTCAAAAACAATTTGCACTTGACATTGCCACTGTTTTTATTACTTTAGTGGGTATGAATATCATCACAACTCATATATGTATGTACATGTTATGTGCATATACATACAGTATTTTTGTACTCATGAAAAAAACAAAAAAAAAAAAAGCTGCTAAATCATTTTAGATTGAAAATGACAAATTCACTCTAAGAAAGAGTCAGTGCACTTTCTTTTTCTTAAATTAAATAACAATGTTTTTAATATTTCATTCACATGGACTAAATCAAGGACATTAATATCAATTCACATTAAAAATAAAGAATAACATTTACTAAAATGCCTTCCATCACATGATTTTGGAGAAAAAAACATCAGGAATGAGCAGGTCACACACCACACGACGTGATTGCCATTACTTCCCTGTATCAATCGTTTTGGGGTATGGATTGAGGAATGCCAAAATCGCAACTTAATTGGTCCTAGCCCACAGTTGTACCCAAAGAAAAATAGCCCACAGTTGGCCAGTAGTAATCAGTAATCAGTAATCATCAAGGTGTTAAGCATTGCTCAGTAATAAACTGTATTCATAAACCGTAGAAACCGTGCAACGGAATCATACTCGATAGTCACTTCGATTCAATTCTTTTATGATTCGGTCCTGATTTCTGTTCTAAAATAAAGAATAGTTCCAGGTCCGTTAGAAATCTAGAACGGAGCTGAAAATTAAACCAAACTATATATATCTATATATATATATATAAATAATAATATAACATATATCACAAAGATTAAAACTAGAACACAACAATATATTTTTTTGGACTATGCCCAAAGAAAAAATTACTATCAAATGATTTTTTACCTGGTGACTATATTGTTGAACCATGCCTATTCGAAGGGAAGTAGACTACTCAAGAATTTCGTAATTGAATAAAGAATTCAGAAAATCATATACACAGAGATTTTCATCTATCTTTAGCCGATGACTCTCTCTCTCCCAACCCAACCATTGAAGATCTGATCTACCAACCTTTTCTTTTTGTAAGGCTTATACCTTACCTGAGAGGCACAAATCAGTTTTATGAGTAGCTTCTATAATGACTTACCGGGGAATATTAAAAAAATAAAAGAAGTTCAATAATGTGGCTACCCCACACACACACACAAGTCCCATTTCTCTCAATCAGTCACTTCTGACATGTTTAAAACCTAGTTTGGCTCTATGCCATTAAGCTTTTTACTCAATAATAGCATCTTCTGCAACAAAATACTCGATGAAGAAAATTCTATACAAGCTGGAGTTATTGGATTCTAGCAGTTGCTACTGCACCAACAAGCACCAATAGGATTCGAATTCAGTCGTTAAAACATAAATGCCCTCTGGTCAATCAGTTGGCCATGCAGAGGTCCAAATTAAAATCATAATAATATGAAATGATTAATGTGAAAAATGCAAATTTTGAATCATAGTAATATAAAATTCAGCATTTGTGTAATTAAATTTAGTCCAGTAAACATCCCAGCAAAAATAAGAATCAATGTATGGTGAAATATATATATATATATATATATATATATATATATATATATATATATATATTGATGTATGTAGATAATTCCAAAGCAGCCAAACTCTTGTATTGAGTTATATGTCAAGGAACGTAAATTTCATGAAGATACTAAACACTTGCCATAAAAAGAAGGGGATGCTAAACATGTTATCAGAGTTGAAATAGATAAAAATAGATAAAAATGAGACATGCATCTAAACTAATATGCAACAGATTTACCAATCAATCTAAATGAATATTCTGTCAGCTATGCTTATGCCTTATGCAGCAGCAATCTATAGTCCAAGTGGACAACATTCGATGGATGGCTGAGATACAGTAAGAAACAGGAAATTGAAACTTGGGTACCTTTGAGATAACAGAGAAAAAAAAAATAAAAAATAAAAAATTTAAGGTAAGAGGAGAATGAAAGATAAAAGGCAGAATGATCCAACTCCTGAACTATTAAGCAGTGCAAAAAGATCAACCGACGATCAAGAGACAGAGAAGCAGTTTTCAGAAAGGAATTTGATGAAACAGGTAAAACAATATTTAATTTCAAACACGAGAAACATGATTACTATTGAGAAGAACGAAGAACAAAACTCTTGTTCTAAGCTGACTCAGCCCCAAACAACTGTGAAAATAAAAAATATGAGAGAGATAGAGAGAGAGAGAGTGAGACTACAATACAAGGAAGTATATAGTGGCAAAAAAGAGTGTACCGTGTAACGGCATACTTAGTAAAGTAATCATAAATCAACTATCCAAATTTTAGGTACACACCCCTCAAGCAGCCACAGGTTAGAAATTGCATCATCTTTTTTCTGAAAAAAATTAAAATTAAAATTAAAATTAAAAATCCATTTATTATCCATGAGCAATCTTTATAGTTAGAAGTATGTCTGCAAAACCCCATACAGCAGTAGTCCCACCAGACATTTGAAAACAATATCCCAATTGCTAACGGCAACCACTGTTTGATAATCTAAATCATTTCTCTGTATATGAGCAGATAATGGATCTAACCATTGTCATTTTCATTCTAAATAGATAGGCTGAAATTTGGAGGCTTCACTTACAGGCTTCGTCATTTCGAACTTCCAATACTTGCTGCAAAAAAACAAAGGCATGGCTTGAATGCTGCAAGCTCGTCACAATAATAAAATTCCTGTTAGTAACACATTCTACTGAAGGCAATTGGAAGTCAGAGAGCACCAATAAAACTAAAACAGGACTAGTTCACATGCAACTAATCCAAGTAATGGTGATAAACTTAAAACGGAGAAAACAAAAAGAAACAAAGAAAGTATCTTCATTGATAAGCACCAAAACTTACTCTTCTGCATAAATCACACCAAGTGCTCCAACTTACAAGTACTTACAACCTGATTTACTACTTTAAGCTACATGTGAAGGGCTATGGTAAAGTCTCATGGAAGCTAAAGTAATAAAAAGGAAACATGTTTCTGAATTAAAGGTAATCTTAGACTCCAAAATAAAGTGATCAATGTCTTCTCTTTTTGAAGTGTGGTGAAATAAACTTTATTTTTCATAATGCAAGTTGGGAAGAACTCTGTACTGTAATGAAGTTTAGCAGGTATATACAGAGAGGAAAAGGTGGGTAACATGGGATGATTTCTTCATTGGACCTTTCGATCGGCAATCTGTTTTGATGTAGATTTGCTGGTAAATGCATTTTAAGGTAGTTCCTCTCTATTAGAAGAAGGGGAAGTTAGCTAATACTTGGAATATGCACGGGTCACATATTCATGGATGACTCGGGAAACTGATTTACAAGAAGATAACAGTTTTTGTGTAATTTATACTGCCACCACCAGGGGTGACATTTGGTTAAGGTTGGGTTGGGAGGAAAGCAAGCATAAAACCTCCACAAGCTTAAAACATCATCCGGACAAGTCACATGATCCCATCCAACAACCAATATGCTGATGATTGAACATTTCAAACCCACACCAAGCAGATTGCAAGTAATCCCATCCTTGGTTCGGGTTAGCTATCTCATACATGTACATGTACATGTATCAAGTATTCAATATCCATATAAAGAGTACATAATAAATGTCACGCATCCAGAAAAGGCGTTTCCGGAAGCGTGACAGTAAACAATTGATATATTTACAAAAATGATAATGTAAATATTATCTTTATGCATAATCTTAGTTGTACTATGCATGTCTCATGTCTCCTTATCTTGGTCAGTTTTTATCATTACAGTTTGCAGATTGTTTAATCCCTAATACTGACCTTGATCGATTCACACTATGGCGACCTCAAAATTAACTGTTTATCTGACTTAAGTTGCTTCCCAAGCTGTCTTTCAGTGCTCTGGATAAATAAGGAGTTGATGGTGTGATCATCAGTAATGCCATGTTCGGTGAAGCAAAAACTTCTGAGGGGTTGAAAAATTAGAAATCTTTACCAACTCCTTGAAATTTGCTCTTCCTTGGCAAACAATCATTTCAGGTAAAATTAAGCTTGCAACAATCTCTAACTTAAGTATGCATTGAAATCAGATGAGCATAAATTGATGTTCTTGGATAGCATCACAGCTTAGAGACCTTTTCAATACTTTAGAGCATTGACTTCTGAATCTTCTCCAATAAGAAATCCATTATTTGTTCCATTCACCTCAATTGAGCTACAGCCGGCAGAATTCCTCAACCCCTTGGCTTTCATTTCTTCACGTAACCTCATGACCCCATCCCACCTACAATCTTCGGCATACATGTTTGACAGCATTAGTCTAGACCAAGAATCAGAAGGATCAAGCTCAAGTAGCCTTCTGGCTGCAACCTCACCTAGATCTACATTCTTGTGGACGCGGCAGGCACTAAGCAGGGCTTTCCATACTACGTTGTTGGCTTCCATGGGCATTTCGAGTATAAGTTCATATGCCTCTGATAGACGACCCATTCGGCCTAAAAGATCTATCATACACCCATAATGTTCAACCTTGGGTTTCAGATTGTAATATTTCTCCATGGAACAGAAATGGACCCACCCTTGATCTAACAATCCAGCATGAGCACAAGCATTGAGGACTCCCGTGAACGTGACTTCGTCAGGTTGAAGCATGGCTTCTTGCATCTTAGAGAAGTAGTCTAGGGCCTCCTTCCCTTGTCCATGCGTTGCTAGCCCACAGATAATCGATGTCCACAAGAAGATATCTTTCCTTGGAGACTTGTCAAATATTTGCATAGCCTTTTCAATGTTGCCACACTTTGAGTACATATCAATGAGGCTGGAGTCCAATTCCCCATCTGAATTAAAGTTGCTTCTCTGTATATAAGCATCTATTTTTGTGCCTATGTCCAGAGCTCCAACACTAACGCAGGCAGACAGAACACTTGACAGAGTTGATACATTCGGTTTCACACCAACAAACTCCATCTCCTGGAACAATGCTAAAGCCTCCTTAGATTCACCAGCACGAGATAGTCCTCCAATTATCGTGTTCCATGACACCAAATCTCTCTCTGGCATTGATTTATATAGCAACTTTGCGAGCTCCAAGTTATTGTGCTCGAAACTTTGATGAATTATAGCATTCCAAATCACAATATTTTTAACTGGGATATCCAAAAATAGCTGGTGTGCAAGATCGAAATTTCCAGAGTCTCCATATGTACCCAAAAGGCTGCTATATACAAAAGGGTCTATATATAGTCCAGTCTTGATGACAAAACCATGAATCAACTGAGCAACCCCCAGGTCCCCAAACAGACCACAGGCAGAAATAACAGTAGCCATCGCCACCGGGTCAGGCATAAGATCAACTTCCCCCATCTTCCGAAACAATTCCATCGCTTCCATAGGAAGTTCCACGCAAGCATAGGCCCGAATCATCGCAGTCCACAACACCAATCCTGGATGAAGCATTTCATCAAACACTTGTCGCCCATTATCAATAGAACCACAATTGACATAAAACCGAAGCAAAGCACCTGAAACAAACTCACTAGACCCAAACCCAGTTCTTATAACATTTGCATGAACTTCTTCACCTTCCCGGAGGTCTTGTAATGCCTTGATTAGGTACATGAAAGTGTGCCCATTGGGTCTTAAACCAGTAACAAGCATCTGCTTATAGATTAAAAGAGGTGGGTCTGTTGGAAATGTGTTGTTCCGTGACAGTTTCTTGATGATGGTGTTCCATGTGAAGAGATCAGGACGAGAAATGCGTGAGAAAATTGAAGAAGCGTAATGGTAGTCTAGGAGTGCCGGAGAGGATAGTAATTGAGTAGCAGCAAATGTGTTTTGAATGATGCCGGTGACAATCATGTAAGCATGAATTTGACGGAGCTTTAGGGGGTCTGTGGTGGTTTGTAGAAGGGTTGTGAGGGTTGGGCTGAGCGTTTGGAGAATAGGAGGGACGAGAGTGCGTATAGGCTGGTTGAGAGGTAGCATGCATGTTTTTGCAATCTATCTGGAAGAAACTGGTCTATATATATGTGTGTGTAACCGATATTGGTAGAGAAATACTGAAGGCTAAAGACTGGTGCATTAGGCACCACCTAGCAATGAGAGTGTCATCCCATATCATATGTGAATGAGTTGGTACGCAACAGTACTAACTTTTAGATTAGAGGACACCAAACTCCCGCCGGAAGGAGTTCATCCAGATAGACAGGGTGTTTTTTTTTTTTTAAAGCAGCATCACATAAGTTAAAAAGTTATGTGATACTCTATTTTTTTTTTTTTATGCATATGTTCTGAGGCGTGGATCGTGAAACTTAATTATCTCATTATCTATTTATTATTTTATTATTATTTTATTTTTTTCCTTTCCTTTCTTCAAAAATTTGAACTAACAGCTGCAGTTTTTTTTTTCTTTGTCCTAGAAAAAAATTTTATGGAGTATTCATACCACTCCGTCGTTAAAGAATGGTATAAATAGTGATTGCAAAGCCCACAAAAACAACACTATTTGTTTCTGCAAACCGCACCTCCCTCTCCCTACACTGACACACTATCACCCTAAAACTTCATGCCCCCGGATGCTCTAACCTTTTTTGTCGCTCATTACGGCCTTTGGACCAGAATATAAGATTTTTTTAGTTTCACACAGTAAAATGTTTTTCTTCTTTTGCTTTTCGATGTTTGATTAAAATTCTGAACCGTTTTCTTCTTTTGCTTTTCCATGTTTGATTAAAATTCTGAACCTTTTTCTTGTTTATATATGTACATAAAATTGCTTACTTCAACAAACCTGTATGTCAATTTTCACCTGTAATTTTTTATTACAAAGGCTCCAAACAACGTAAAATATAATTTACTAATTGTGAAAAGTAACCAAACAAAAAAATAAAACACTCTTTAAAAAACATTTTACATCACAACAAACCAACCGTAAATGAAAATTCAAATCCATCCCCCCATACCCCTCCCATGGTACCACCATATATAAAATCCTCACCTCACCCTGCAGTCAAAACTTTTTATCTCATACTCAAAACCAACTGATTTCTGGTCATTAAGTTGCTTACTCTAGTCAAAAATCATTTCAGTTATGCTGTATCCTGGTCATAATCATGTCAAACATATCACGCAGATGACATCAGGCCGAATTTGCTAAAAAGGCTTTAGCTCATTCATTGTTTTCAAAATAATAGAACCAATAGAACTAAGAAAGATGATGAACTTAAGTGCCTCAAAACAAATAATTCACTAATCCAGGATACAGACTCGCAAATAAGGTTACATATATGTAGATGGCATTAACGCCTCCCAGATGCCACTGATTCAGCAGAGAAGAGGTACTTCACTCGTGAAAGAACAGAATCATGTGTAGGATCATATGGTTGATCTTTGGAAGGAATCTCCAGAATTGCTGGAACAGGCTTGTTGTAGCTATCTACTAAAAACCTTATCATGTTTGCAACCTGGAAATCAATGAACAGAGGACAATGTTTTACCTTGAAACCAAATCAGAAAACAAAAATGCACAGCAACCAAGTGCTTATTCCTCTATCACCGTACAGCCAGCCAAAAATTCAAAGTGGCATCTCCTAACACATTGATCATATGGCGATAAGATTGATTTTAAAAAGTTAGATTGCATATTCAACTTCAGTGACCAAGAATAATTCCGAATTTCAAATTATGAAAATATTGGCCGCCATGGTTTTATTTCAGAGCACTAAAGTAAATATATCATGTGTCACTAGGGTTGCAAATGAACCGAGGACTGAGCTGTTCATGAAGATCAGCTTGTGTAGGCTAGTATGTGTTTATAAACATAGTCTTGTGTATAGTGATGCAGCCAGGAATTCTGTTGTTGGGTTGGGGTGTTACGTTGAAGAATAATAAGATATATATATATATTGAAGATAGAAATTATTTGAAGAAAATTTAATATTGGTTAGAAATATTTTCATCCATTAAATTTACAATTGTTTTCGCTGCGTTTTTATATTAAACAAGATTCTCATTCGTATTGACAAGAAAAACTGTGTATTTAAGTAATACACTTAATTAAAAAAAACAATTCAGAGGTGTATTCTAATGTGTATCTCTCATTCCCTCTTACTGTGAATGCTATTAACAAATTTTCAATAAGTCAGATTAGTTGGACTCAACACACCTAGAAAGTCCTTATTGGCAATAATTAAAGATTAAAGAATGAAACTTGTCTTTGTATTAGGAACTTAGACCTCTTTTTAGATAGGTTTTAAAAATCAAAAACTAATTAATAATTAGATTAAATCAAATAAATAAGAAAATTGCACTTTACAGTATGGGTATATTCGTGATTTCCATGTATCATATATATTAAAAGATAAGTAGATGATGATACTATTTAGGTTTTCTCGTACCTTCTTAGAGATTGTGATCTTTCCATTAAAGAAAAAATAGCTGAAATAAGGAAAAGAAAGGATTAAAGATGGAGATATTGAGTGTCCAGTGACCAAAGAGAAAAAGAAAGAGATTACATTAGTGGCCAAAGATTATAAGTTAGGGTAGTTTTAGAATTCCAAAATTTTATATACATAAAATGAAAATATCAATTTTTTTAGGGGAGGCAGTTTTAGAATTTTAAAGTTTAATATGTATAAAAATAAATTATAAAAAAATTTGAGGGGCGCAACTTGTAGCTCCGTCCTTGCTTGTGTAGGTTCATAAATGTGGGTTGCTTATGTAGGCTCGTATAATTCATGAACAAACCAAAGCAATCTTGAATACGGGTCCAAACAAAGCCTGAACGCAAATACAATATTGATGTTGACTTTTTCTGTTATACGAGCGGAGCAGAGTCTTGAGCTTTTCAAAATAATGACAAGCCGAGCCCGAGCTCAACTTTTTGAACTCATGATGATTCCGAGCTGAGATTGCACTAAACCCTCAAACGAACGAGCCGAGCCGAGCTTGGACAAAGTGAAGTTCAGCTCGGCTTAATTTAATTTACAGCCCTATGTGTCACCTATATAATAAAGGAATTAATTTCACATGGGAGATTCAATAGGGCAATTCCTTTTTTCTCTGGTTCCTCACAGGCAACTATGTTGTTTCTGCCTGAGAATGTTTTACTAAAATTTAATAGTAGTATGGCGTATAAAATTGTATGTTTAACTTAAATATTTTAAACAATATTGATAATAGGTTTAAAACATACATTTGCACAGTAAGAGAACTCATGAAAATTGATAAGGGGGTCAAAATACAGCACTGTACCCAAATAAGTTGCTTAATTAACATACATTACCAGAAAGGAGAAGCATTAGAAATCAATTAATGAAACATGAAAAAGTACATCAAACGACTTACGTATTGGCTGATCATCACTATTGCAGTTTCCTCTCTTGTTGTGAACTCTTTGAAAGCATCTTCAATTTGTTTAACCGTTATTTCTAATCCATAAACAATTTTTATTATAAGCTAACAATAAGAATATTAAAAAAAAAAAAAAAAAAAAACTGCTTAAAAATTAATATAATGAGAAAAACAAAAATCTCTATTTTGCTAGTGAAAAAGACCAGTAAAAAACAAAAATTTTGAAGCTCTACAACTGTCGTGCAAAGCAAAGTTGCAAGATGCCAAATTTTCCATCATCATCTTCTTGAAGGTTTCTGTTCATTAAATTGACATATTGCAAAGCAACCATTGCAGAAATAGATAAATGGGATTAAAGCAGTGGCTTTTGGAGGCAACTCAAGGATAGAGTATGGTTGCCCAACCAATCTTTGTACTTGGATAGAGTATGGGATTAAAGCAGTGGCTTTTGGAGCCAGAATGTATGTTCACTCAAGTGGATATAAATTATGATTCAGAGATTATTATAGCAAAGCATGAAGGTGGGGTGAAAAACAAGTACACAAAATTTTGAGACTCGTATGGTTGCAAGGTACATAAAACTTCATAGGATAGAAATGTTAAGAGATTATGCAAAATCCTGTATGTGGGAAAAAACAAGGTAGGCTTAATCTACTAGCTAGGACCTTAGAAAAAGGCCACTAACACAACAAAAGCTACAAAAAACATCAATAATCAGAATGAATGATAAATTAACCATTATTTTGAACTTTGAGGTTTAAACATCCTTCCCCTCGAACAGGGGCGAAACAATGTGGCAAAATTTTGAGAAAACCTGGAAATTAGGTCTCCTATAAATAGTGAGTTTCAAAATGCTAAAAAGATCTAACATGTGTCACCCCCAAAATTTACAAGAAAATTCAATTTGAATCCTTTTAGGTTTTGTTTTTGGAAGTATTCATTTTGAAGGGAAAAAAAAAAAAAAAAAAGCTTAAAATTTCCAAATATAACCCATGTACTATTATTTTTCTCATTTTATAAAAAGTTATTTGTGAAATAACATACATGGGATAGATGGTTTGGACACATACATGGGATAGATGGTTTGGACACATACATTGGAGACCTAGAGAAGCACCAGTCAAAGGAAGAAGAGTAGTTGTCATTCAAGGTAAGAGATGGAGAAGGCGACCAAAAATAACATGAGATGAGATTATTAAAAATGACTTTAAAAAGTTAAAATAGTAGGTGAAATGACATGTAAAAGAAAGATTGGAGACACAGAATTCATATGACCGACCCCATTTATATAGAAATAGGATAAGGTGATGATGATGATGATGAGGAGGAGGAGGAGGAGGAGTTATTTGTGAAATACTAAATAAATATATATATATATATAACTAATTTCTTATATACTTTCCGGTTTTTTAAAAAAGAAAATTGTACTTTCTAATTTTTAACTTTCATTGTCAAACTATTAATTCGGTCCCTGCACTCACCTGCCTCCCTTCTCCTCCAAGGCTCAAACATCGTTTTCTATCTTCTTTCTGTTTCTCTTCTTTTTCGAGAATCTAGCGGGCATTTATTTATTCATAACTTGAAGTCGAATTGCAAGCTACATATCATAAATGATTAGGAGTAATACAACAATTAAAAAGTGTGCTGGATGCAAATTTAATGCAGAAACAAAATTTAATAATTTATATTCAATCATTTAAATTCTATAAAATCGCCACTACAGGCTGTAGCTTACTGGTACTCTCTCACTTTCTAAAATAGAAGATCTGAGGGTTCAATGGCGTGACTCAACTAGGAAAAATAGATAAATTCTATAAAATCATGCTTATAACATTTAATTGAAAAAAAATTAAAGTGAAATATCTAACCAACTAAGCAATGTGAATTCCAAATAACCAATAGAGATTAAAGAAATCATATCATGTGGACCCCACATAAAAGATACATTTGGTCAATATGAAGAGAAAAAACCGCATTATTTTAATCAGTCTAGGACTTTCGGTTCCTATAGCACTGCTCAACCTTAAAAACTTCAGAGCATTCAAGGCTCAATAACATACTTGAATCCACAATAAGGTAATTTGTCTTTCTCCTTGGGTCAACGTTGCCAACTCCAGCCAGTAAAAATCCAATAATTGAATCCTACATTGGATAAGTTATATAAGAAAAAAGAAAGCTAGGGAAATAAATATTGTTGCATACTGGAAAATAATTAATCAATTTGGCATACTTTAAAGAATGTTAGCTGGGAAAAAGGAAAAGGAAAGGCACTTCAGCACAGAAAAACAGGACATGGTGAGAAATGAGAAGGTAAAAGTAGACTCCACCGAGACCCAACTTTAAGTGCCCAAAACCTCCTTTGGATGGTGTTTCTCCTGGTCCAACACATCCCAGTATGCTAAAATTTAAAGCACAATCTTATCCTTCAATTACATAATTCAAAATCTTCTAATGTTGCAAACAGATAGGCATAAAGAATGAACCAGTTTCAGTTCCTCTAGAACATGACTAATCCAAACATAATTTCAATTTTACTTTTAATTTCACCATGGAAGCATATACCATGGTCTTACCTCATCAGCAATCATGGCAATGAGTGCTGAGTTGCTTGTAGGAATTTGAACTCTGTTAGCCATTGAAGACAAATAGCGCAACTACAAAAGGAAAATATATTATAAAATCAGATAATAATCACCATTTTACAGAATTCACACCAAGAGCAAAGCATACCCAAGGGGCTGCTACGGTGCTTTATCTAATAATAGACATTCTTAACAATACAAGAAGGCATGAAAAAGCATTGCTCAATTGATAAACAGGCATGAAAAGAGGGATCAAATGATGCCTATGCTTCCTCGTCCGTTAGATTTACCAAAGCCACACCCATGTGGATTTTTCTTCATGTAAAAAACTCAAGAAGGTGACACAGGTAACACCATTAATGAGTATTTTGTGCAATCTTGATCTCAATTTAGATGAGCAACCAAGTGACATCAAAGATGAAGTTTCCATTTTTCATGTGTAATTACGCCATCTAAGTACTCTTTCTTTTTATATCCTTCTCAAGAGATCTAGGCCATCCAATAATGCAGCCGAGGGCGTGGTGGAACAAAATAATTGCACGATCTTTATCAAGTTCTAAGTCTCAGAGTGAAACAAAGGAAATTTTTCTACAAGGATGACAAGAAAGCATTATCAAAATATTCCCATCGTCATTGTTCAAGTGCCAGATACTAATGGGTTCATTCACTAGTATCACACTTAGAATTATATATATTTGGATAGATATAAGTCATAAATTTGGTGAATGAACTTAGAATGGTTCATCCTAAAATTAAGTGAATCAAATAGATTCATTGAGAATACCAAAGGTCTAATACGAATACTTGTCAGAACATCTCCTTTGTTAATGTATGAACCATCTAAATACATACATATATATATGAACATATTTAAAACTTTATTATTTAGGGGGGCATGAATCAAAATAATTAGACTTAAATTATATACATATTTAAGAACATTACGAAGATATCTTGAAACATTCTCCAACAACCGATAATTGATGTTTTACAAGTGGCATGCCATGCACAGGGATTGCCCCTGGCTCTAACATGGTTATCCTGTATTTACACTGAGGGAGCTATTGATGATATTAGTAGGGTGCGCATCAGAAGTAACACAAGTTCAAATGGAAAATGTGTTATTTATTGAAAAAACAACTTGTTATGTGAATGATAGCAAGATGCACGGATTTGTGCGTTCATGTGCAGATCAATGTCTAGAAGAAGGGCCAAGGGTTGTTGGAAAAGCTCTAAAATCCAATACCTCCCATCTGATTTAAAAGAATTTTATATTAGTGAGTATCCATTTGTTAATCACGCACACAAGTTTCGCTTGAATGCTGCAGTTGTGATCAAATTAAAGAACATTCTTCTTTTATTGAACAACATATCTGCTACCATGCAGAGGATTTCCAATTGTTTGAGAAGAGTTTCTGACACTCTTCGATGTTAGAATAGTGGCACTGCCCTGTGTGCTTAGGATATCCATGGAGGGATTACTCACTGCCTTCATTTGGTTTTGAATGAGGTTTTACTTGTAAACCAAATGAGTAAACCAAATTAATGGTCAACAACTCAGATTATAAGTAAAACCTCATTCAAAACTAAATGAAGACATTAAGTACTCTCCTGCATGGACATCCTAAGCACGCAGGGCAGTGCCACTATTCTAAGACCGAAGAGTGTCAGAAACTCTTCTCAAACAGTTGGAAACCCTCTACATAGTAGTAGATATGTTGTTTAGTCAAAGAAGAATGTTCTTTAATCTGATCGCAACTACAGCATTCAAGCCAAACTTGCGTGCTTGATCGATTAACAAGTGGATACTCACTAATATAATATTCTTTTAAATCAGATGAGAAAATGGAGGTATTGGATTTTAGAGCTTTTCCAGCAACACCTTGTCCTTCCTCTAGAAATTGATCTACACGCATGAACGCACAAATCCGTACATCTTGCAATCATTCACATAATAAGTTGTATTTTCAATAAATAACAAATTTTCCAATCGAACTTGGGTTACTTCTGATGCGCACCCTACTAATATCATCACTCAGTGTAAATACATGATAGCCATGTTAGAGCCAGGGACAATTCCCATGCATGGCATGCCACTCATAAAACATCAATTATCAATTGTTAGAAAACGTTTCAAAATATCTTCGTAATGTTTTTAAAAATATATATGTATATAATTTTAAGTCTAATTATTTTGATTCATGCCCCCCTAAATAACAAAGTTTTAAACATGTTCATATATAAATCCATGCATTTAGATGGTTCATACATTAACAAAGGAGATTTTTTTACAAGTATTCATACTAGACCTTTGGTATTCTCAATGAATCTATTTGATTCACTTAATTTTAGGATGAACCATTCTAAATTCATTCACCAAATTTATGACATATTTATCAAAATATATATGTCATGAATATTTTTGCATGCGGCAGGTTATTATTTGAACCCAGGGTTCTTTTATTCAAACCCGAATATTGATGAAGATGCAGAGATTGCAAAGGGGTTCTATGACTGTATAGCAAGTTTGGTCCCAGACACCAAAGAGCAAGACCAAATTACTGAGGAGTTGTCCATCTATTATAAAGCTGAGGACCTATTTGGTGATAGATTTCTGGTTGTGAACGAAATCGAAGCATGTTTGACCATGCAAGTATCTATTACGTAGATTGGTAATTTAATTATTGAAAATTAAATTCTTAATTCTGTATGCTTACTAGTTAAAGTTGAATTTATTACAGCTTATAACGAAAAAAGAAATGGGCTCTCTCAAACAACTTTGAATATTTAGTGGTTACCAAATACAAGAGGGCATTAAGGCATCCGTATAATATGCGTGATACTTTTGATCCCATTTTACTTGATGACATTGATGAGAGCAATGAGTGGTTGACTGGGAGGATGGATGATGATGGTGATGCCAAAGATGATCTAGTCTTTGATGATGATTCCTTGGACATGGGGTGATGTTGCTAGTGTTGTTAGAATTGGAGAGGATAGCAGGCAACGGTTGTCTAGATCAAAAACTAGTTTACGGCCAGCAACAAATGAAGTAGGAAGCTCCTCTTCAGTTCAACTTATTGATGTGGTTGAGGAAGAGACAAAAGAAGATCTTGAGAATTATGAGTCCTTACGTGGTGATCAAGAAGGTGCTATGTTTATTGATGATGAGAATGATATTTAGATCTTTTGGTGTTGTCTTCTTAGGAAGAAGTGAACATTTCCATGTTTGTTTTAGTTTTTATTTCATTAGTTAACTTTTGCATCTTTATGTAAATATATTGACTATTTGGTACTTTTGCATCTTTTTATTTACTCTTATTGAGTACCATTTTTTATTTTTTTCTCGTCCAAGCTCCAGGAGGCCTTAGCGCCTTAATGCGCCTTGAGCCTTTAACAACTATGGACAAGAGTGATATAGGATTACACTCACAAAAAAAACAGATTAAACAAATGAAAAATTGTCTGCAAACAGATCATGACTGATAGTAAACATAAGTTAAAACAATCATATAGACATGTATCATGTATGCGCGTACCTATTACATCCAGTACCATGCTACATCATCCTGGAAGTCATGTCGTCAAACTAAAATTTGATGCTGGATACAAAATATAGACTAGACAGATTCTTCAAATCCATAATTATTGAACAAATTGTAAATTCACTCCAGTAAGATATTGCATTTCTTTTCTTACATCAATTTACAGCCTATATTTCTAATTCAAGACAATTGTACATATCATATATATATATATATATAACAAATGCACATGTTTCCATAGAAATCAAACATTAGATTAGAACTGAAGTATATGAAAACAAACGCAATTGCGTTCGATTCGAGTCAGGATGATGTTAAAAAAAAAAAAAAAAAAGAATCAACTGATCCTTCATCAATTTAACGGCCCAACACCGGGTAAAGATTGAAAAAGCAGAAAATGATTACCTGTGTATTCAATCTCGAGCGCTAGAACAATCGAGAGACCTGTATAGCGAACTCCAGTCTATCGTCGATACCAGAACTTCACACGCGTGAAAGGCAGAGATAATTTTGTTCAAAGGAAACGATGACGCCACTCATCTTGCAAAAACCAACCAAACAATTTGAGAACTTGCGGAACATAATAAAATGACGCCATTCATTTTTTTTTTTTTTTTTCAGTATATGAAAAGAACTCAAAATCTTAAAATCTTTATTATTTTGTTTCCTTAAATAAAATTCAATTACCATAAAAAAAACTTACTGGAAATTTTTAAAGCAAATGCGTATAAGTTGGGTAAATACTCTACTATAAATATTAATCATTTAGTTTTAATTTTATTTTACATAAGCAACATATAACATTACAAATATAAAATATATATCTAATTTTCTTGTATTTCGGATTCGTCGGGTCAGTATAACATTTGTCCAAATCCTATCCAAAATAAATTCGGACTCTAAAATTTAAACCCAGTCCCGTCCCATAATCTCAAGTACCTTGCCAATGCCTGTGAAATTTTTTGGCGGGATTTGGGTTGCTCGGATTAAACCCACCCAAGTCTCAGGCCTAATATATAGTTAACTAGCTTGGAGCCGGCTTTTATTCATGCTTTTTGCGTTTGTTAGTTTACAATAGCGAAGTATGTTTGATAAAATTTGTTGTCATTTGAATAATATCGAAGTACTTCCAAACAAAGGCCAAAATCGAAGCATAAAAATGATGATTTTGGTTACTTATGCCACAGTAACAAAAGCACTAGTTCAAAAAAAGAAAGAAAAAAAAATCTAAAATGACAGTCTAAACTAGTTATTTAATTGTTCAAATTTGCAACAATTTTTATCTAATATGTTTTTATATTTTTGCTTCAAAAAATCTTATAACAAATTTACGTTAACAAACAAGTCCAAAAACGTTACTTTTGCTTTAGATTAAAGAAAAAATAAAAAACAAAAACGATTGCCACACGGCCTTTTGGTTGCGTATTTTGTTCAAAGATGCCGTATGCTCCATACATGACCTTAACAAACCCACGGCCCATCCGAGCCTTAGACAACCCTGAGTCTTTATCACTTTAACGTTTTAAAAGAAAATTTATAATTCACAGATTAATTAAATTCTGTAATAAATATATGCGTGTATATATATAGAGAGAGAGAATAATATCAATGAGAAAAAATGGAAAAACTTTTAGCGAGAGAGAGAGAATTTTGTTTCATTCGAGTGTTGTTAACAAGCAGTACATAGGCATAGCCTTTTATAGGCTCAAATTTTAGCTTCCTCTGTACGCCACCAAGGGTGTCCTCCCAAGTAAGCTTCAAAATGTGATCATATTTGAGGACCCCACACATTTAGATATACATAACACTCCCCATTGGGGTCCACAAAACTACACTAAGAATATACCTCGTTAAAACCTTGCTAAGGAAAAACCCAGTGGGACAAAACCATTGCGAAGGGAAAGAGTACAATATTTTTATGTATCTGAAAATGGTATTGCATAGATTAAAAACTGCCTCATTAAAATCTTGCCAGGAAAACCCAGTGGAACAAAACCTGGACAGAGGAAAAAGAGTATAGAATGCCAATACCTCTTTGATCAATTGCTCCCCCCTCATTAGTTTAACCCTGAAGATCCTTTAGTTGACGCATTCCAATGTTGTACACCAGCTTCTTGAATGTTGTAGTTGGAAACGTTTTAGTGAATAGATCTGCTAAATTTTTACATGAACGTATCTTCTGAATATCAATATCACCCTTTTTCTGGAGTTCATGTGCATAAAAGAATTTTGGTGAGATGTGTTTGGTCCTATCACTTTTAATATACCCTTCTTTCATCTGTGCAATACATGCTGCATTATCTTCATATAATATTGTTGGGCTATCTTTTATTGATGAGAGACCACATGTTGTTCGAATATGTTGGATCATTGATCTCAACCAAAAGCATTCCCTGCTTGCCTCATGAATTGCGAGTATCTCAAAATGTTTTGAAGAAATGGCAATCATTGTCTGTTTCATAGATCGCCATGATATAGCAGTGCCGCCACAGGTAAACACATATCCTGTTTGTGAATAAACTTTATGTGGGTCAGAGAGATAGCCGGCATCTGCATATCCAATTAATTGAGAATTTGGCGCATTTGAATAGAACAATCCCATATCAGTTGTGCCACGAAGATATCCCAATATGTGTTTGATTCCATTCCAACGTCTGCAGGTTGGAGCAGAACTGTACCTTGCTAATAAATTGATTGAAAAAATTATGTCAGGTCTTGTGCAATTTGCAAGATACAAAAGAGCACCAATCGCACTAAGATAGGGCACTTCAGGATCATGGAGTTCTTTATCATCCTCTCGAGGACGAAAATGATTTTCTTGATGTCAAGTGATCGGACAACCATTGGAGAGCTCAAAGGATAGGCTTTATCCATATGAAAACGTTTCAGAATCTTTTCTGTATATGTTGATTGATAAATGAGAATACTGCTCGAAAAATGTGCTACTTGTAGCCCAAGGCAGAATTTTGTCTTTCCGAGATCTTTCATTTCGAATTCTTTCTTTAAATAAGTGGTCGTCTTTTTGATCTCGTCCAATGTTCCCACAAGATTCAGATCATCAACATCTACTGCAACAATAACAAAACCAGATTCTGATTTGTTAATAAAAATGCATAGACAAATATGATTGTTCACATATCCTTCTTTGAGTAAGTAATCGCTAAGGTGATTGTACCACATTCGTCCAAATTGCTTCAATCCATATAAGGATCGCTGTAATTTTATCAAGTACATATTACGTGATTTTATTTCAGGCATTTTAAATCCTTTTGGGATTTTCATATAAATATCACTATCTAGTGATCCATATAAATATGTTGTAATCACGTCCATTCGATGCATATGCAATCTTTCTGTGATTGCCAAATGTATTATGAATCTATATGTGGGTGCATTTATCACAAGGGAGTATGTTTCCTCATAATTAATACCAAGTCTCTGTGAGAAACCTTGAGCTACCAGTCGGGCTTTGTATCTCACGATTTCATTTTTCTCATTACGCTTTCGTACAAATACCCATTTATACCCAACAGGATTAACACCCTCAGGTGTCTGGACTATTGGTCCAAATACTTCACGTTTAGTTAATGAATTTAACTCTGTTTGTATCGCTTCTTTCCATTTTGGTCAATCATTTCTTCGTTAACATTCTTCGACGTTTTGAGGTTCCGGATCCTCATTATCAATATCAAGAGTAACGACATATGAGAATATGTTATTGACAATAATTTCATTTTTATTCCATCTCGTTTCATAATTTAGTAAGATCTCATCATTTTCAGGTACCTTTGCCTCATCAAGGGCATGTACCTCATCAAGGGCCATATCATCATCTGTTACCTTTGCCTCATCAAATTTATTATTTCATCATTTTTAAGTACATGAGACTCATCAAGGGCCTCTACCTTATCAAAGGCTATTATCTCAGATTGATCAAATAATATCTATTGCTCCTTTTGTGGCCTCTTCAAGAGTGCCAGTTTTTCTTTGTGATTTCCTTTTACGAGGAACAGTACCTTTTGCACTGACTGGTCTACCACGCTTCAAGCGTATTTTAGATGCATTTGCTGCATTACTGACAGAAGGTCCCTCAGGGACAGCAATTCGTGCTGGAACATTTGCAACTGGTATATGTGATTTTATTATTTTATTTGTATCAGTAAATGCATCAGGTAATTGGTTTGCAACATTTTGCAAGTGAATGATCCTCTGAACTTCTCGTTCACATTGATTTGTGCGAGGATCAAAATGAGACAATTACAAGGCATTCCAAGTAATATCATGTTGCTGCTATGCCTTTTCTCCCCCTAATGGTGGGAAAACAACCTCATCAAAATGACAGTCAACAAATCGTGCTTTAAAAACATCACTTGTCAGGGGTTCAAGATATCTAATAATAAATGGAGAATCAAAGCCAACATAAATTCCAAGTCTACGTTGAGGACCCATTTTAGTACGTTGGGGTGGTGCAATTGAAACATATACAACACAACCAAAAACTCGTATGTGAGAGATATTTGGTTGTTGACCAAAAATAAGTTGCAATAGTGAGTACTTATGATAAGCAGTTGGTCGTATACGGACTAATGATGCAGCATGTAATATGGCATGTCCCCAAGCAGAAACAGTTAATTTTGTTCACATAAGTAAAGGACGACCAATTAACTGAAGTTTTTTAATAAAAGATTCAGCTATACCATTTTGTGTATGAGTGTATGTAACAGGATGTTCAACATTAATTCCAACTGACATGCAATAATCATCAAAAGCTTGAGAATAAAATTCAGCGGCATTATCAAGACGGATTATCTTAATTGGGTAATCAAGAAAGTGTGCATGTAATTTTATGATTTGAGCAAGAAATCTAGCAAATGCAACATTACGAGTAGAAAGCAAACAAACATGTGGCTATCGTGTTAAGGCATCAATTAAGACCATAAAATAGTGAAATGTTCCACAAGGTGGATGAATTGGCCCACATATATACCCGTGAATTCGTTGTAAAAATGGGGGAGACTCAACAATGACTTTTGAAAGGGATTGTCTAATAATCAACTTACCTTGTGAGCAGGCAATGCATAGATGATTATTTGGTAAGCTGATTTTTTGATCCTTTAGTGGGTGTCCATGTGAATTTTCAATAATTCGACGCATCATTGTACTCCCCGGGTGACCAAGTCGATTCTACCAAAGTATAAAAAGTTTTGGGTCACAAGATTTTTTATGTATCATAGCATTGGACTCAATTGTCCTAACGGTTGTATAGTATAACCCAGAAGAGAAAACAGAGAGTTTTTCTAATATCTGTTTCTTGAATGAGGTAATGGAAGTAATGTAGAGATATTCTACATTTCTTTCATTTGCAATCTTAATATGATACCCATTATGACGCAAGTCTTTAAAACTCAACAAATTTCTTCAAGATCTTGTAGAATATAAGGCATCATTGATTTGTAATCCTATTCCATGTGGTAAAATGATGTTGGCTCGTCTGGAGCCTTCAATCAAGTCGATGGGACCTGATATTGTACTTCACCATTTATTTTGGAACTAGTCAGATTCATTCATATTTATGCAAATTTCTTTATCAGAAAATAAACATTTATAACAAAAGAAACTTTAATACAAACTAGAAAATAGAAACTTTAATACAAGGAAAATAAAAAACATAGTAGACTAAACATGAAAATAAAATAGGATTAATTGGTGTGTACATTTCCATCACCAATCAGGAAGTCTATCTTTCCATCACAGTCCGCAAAAAAATCTGATACATCCAGATTTGTGATGTCAACTGGCTTATCATGATCAATGAAATTCATTTCTAGATTTGTGATGTCAACTGGCTCATCATGATCAATGAAATTCATTTCCTTTTGTTTCCCCTTTTCTTTCATTGAGGCTTGGTAAAGTTAAGCCAGATGCTTATGTTTACAACAAATGCTTTGCCAATACCTTGTCATGCCACACCGATAATAAATATTATCATGTGCCTTGGGAGGTTGAGCCACATCCTTCCCTTTTACTTGTTTCATTTCATTATAATATCTCCTTTGGGGATATGGTGTGGATCTCTGATTGCGAAAATGTGAGGATTGATACCCTTCACGATAATAAGAATGATTTCTGCCACGACCATATTCATTATTGTGGTAGTTATTTTTACCACGATCATATTCATTATTATAGCCATTTCTACCACCACAACCACGTCTACGTCCACGTCCATGTCCACGACCACGGGATGAGGCAACATATGTTTCAGGGATCGGTGTCGATCCAGTTGGACGAGACTGGTGGTTTCTTAACAAAAGCTCGTTATTTTGCTCTGCCACAAGTAAACATGATATGAGCTCTGAATATTTTTTAAATCTACGCTCTCAATATTGTTGTTGCAAAAGTACATTCGAGGCGTGAAATGTGGTGAATGTTTTTTCCACAAAAGTTCATCAGTGATGATATCACCACACAATTTTAATGAAGAACTGATTTTAAATAGGGCAGAGTTATATTCAACCACAATTTTAAAGTCTTGCAACCGCAGTTACTGTCAATCAGCCCTGGCCTTTGGGAGGATAACTGTTTTTTGATGATCATATCTTTCTTTCAAATTTTTCCACAAACACAGTGGATCTCTTTCAGTGAGGTATTCAGTTTTTTAGCTCCTCACTAATATGGCACCGCAAAAAAATCATGGCATTCGCTTTATCTTGTAATGATGCATCATTCTCATTTTTTATTGTGTTTCCGAGACCCATGGCATCTAAATGGATCTGAGCATCCAGAATCCAAGATAAATAATTTTTGCCAGATATGTCTAAGGCCACGAATTCTAACTTTGTCAAATTTGACATTTTCAGAATAACTAGATGTGACAACAAGATAAAAATATAATTTAGCATAGTATATAAAATAAATCAAATGGCATTAAGTGAAACAATAATATAATATAAATTATTTAAATAATAAAGGTGGTAAAACCTGAATAAATTATTAAATAATAAAAGCAGTAAAATCGGTCATGAATCATTAAACAATAAAGGTGATAAGACCGATCATAGTGTGAACAGTCAAAAATACTATTTTTTTCGATAAAGCAAACCAACCCAACAATCTATCAAAACTAATATCACAAAATAAATATATTGTTGAGATAGAAAGAGGGAAAGAAAGTTTTTCTTCAAAATATCAGATGGATCAAGGTCATGTTGATAACGTGTAATAAATGTTTATATATATAGAGAGAGAGAATAATATCAATGAGAGAAAATGGAAAAGCTTTGAGAGAGGAGAGAGAGAGAATTTTGTTTCATTCAAGTGTTGTTAACAAGCATTACATAGGCATAGCCTTTTATAGGCTCAAATTTTAGCTTCCTCTGTATGCCACCAAGGGTGTCTTTCCCGGTAAGCTTCAAAATGTGATCATATTTGAGGACCCCACACATTTAGATATATATAACAAATTTTTTTTTTTTCCTTCTAATTTTTTTTTCAACATTTTTAATTGGGTAATAATTAGCTCAATTAAATTTTGTTACCTGTAGTTTTGTAACTATTTCAATCCAAATTAATTTTGAAGTTCTCCATTGCCTGTTCTCATTTTCAATGTGAATTCCGTCAATATTCTTAATGACTATTAGTCTATTATACTAGTAACTTAAACATTTGAAACAACTTTGTGCCATGTAGCGTATGATCATTGTCCATGGTCATGCCATCCACACCCATTTCAAATGAATTGAAGAGATTGAACAAACATTTCAAGCATCACAAGCTTGATTCGCATGAGTAGCTAATCGAAAAGATTGAAACGTTCCCCAAATGTTGACCAAACATGATTAGGCAGTTTTAAATTAAATGTCATTTGATGGTTCAGTCCAATTAAATTTCATCTTCAAATTGGATTTAAATAGTGAACACATGATGAGTCGAATGTTTACTCATATGATTGACTTCTATATTCATATATAGTTGATGTTAAATTCATACTCTATATTTATGCAACATCCAACAATTCAGAACTATTGCTTCAAGCGATGTTAAACCGAAATGAGTGAGAAAACACTCATCTTTCTATGAAATAATGCCGAAAATTAAGATTACCACTGAATTTCGTTTCCCCCTAGTTTCTGAGATCAATATATTACATGACAAGCTAGGTGATGACATGCTTAAGAATGCAAGTACGAAGACGGCATCATTCAATTTATCTAGTCCATCCAACCAGCGCACAATGAGGTCACAAGTTCCATGGTTATGCATAGCATTTGTTGAGAGTTTAGACCATTGCCGAGTTGCATTGAAATTCGAATACTCTTTAGGACCACCAAATCCGATTTGGAATTAAAAAAAATTTAGTTAATCCAAATCCAAAGCCCCCCCCCCCAAGAAGAAACATTATTTAATATTACAGAGGAGCACTACATTTTTTTTGACAAAGAGGACATTTACCACTTGGTAGAAGTTACTTACGTATCTTGTTGGTTCACAGGGGAACGGAGGTTCTGGTGTCATAGATGTTATCCACTGCTTGGATGAGTCCTGTACTGTTGGTCTACAAGGAAAGTTCTGAAAATACCTCCCATTGTAATTCGAAAGGAAATAGGATAAAATGTGTCAATCTCCCTTGAGACTTTGCCATAATTATGCATTGAATTTATTAATACAAGATTGAAAATATGCAGATGCTCGATTACCACTAAAGACATCACGGTTGAAAATATAACCACCACAACTCATGCAACAATGTGAACCGCCCAGCCAAATTTACTTTGAAAGGGTAACAGTCATAAGTTAAATTAAGAGAGTAGTGATCCCTAAATGTGCTATGCTCTTCAATAAATGTACGAGTTCATCAGTGTTGAATTTTGGTACCAGATTGGAGACCTGATTGAACTTTACCAGAGAAATGGGTTTCCAGCCTGCACATTAACCACTCCATTAGAATTAGGGAAATTACATGTTAGTCCTACTTTCCACTTGAAAGTATTATTAAGTCCTATGAAATTTTATTAAGCCAACAAAGTCCGTTCAATAAACATTTCTTATTAAGTTCACAAGTCCAATAACAATAACAATTTTCCAGTAACACATTTTCATACTAAAATACTTACAACATCCTTTTCTGATTAAAATAAAATTCATAACGAAATTATTTTTATAACACAGAATCTCAAATTTATTAAATTTACTGTTACATTTTGAATAATTTGTTACGAGAAAATGTCGCCATCATCATCATCATCATCATCTTTGCCTTCTAAGAAGCACAAACACATCTAAAAGGCCAAAGAATCCGTATCGGACACCAACACACACTGGACACGCCCCGAAACGTGTCAGACACGCCAAAAAACGTGTACATTGTTTTTATTTATTTTTAATATTCGGACACGGACAGACATGCCATGGACATGCGTCCGACACACCACGGACTTGTGTCCGACATGCGTGTCGCATTTTTGGAGATTTTAAAGAAATTTTAGAAAGAAAGCTGGGTTGAAATGTAAATATGAGGAGTTTTTAACAACCTTCAATAATATGGTGTTCAGTACATAATTACTTTAAAAGATGTTACTTTATAAAACAATTTTATATTAAAACAATCAAATATGTAGGCTAACATTTTAGTTCAAAGGTTCAAACTCCTACATGATCAACTTTGACTCTCTCGTTCTCCCACTGACCAAGCTCTGCTACCAGTGGATGGTCTATCTCTCTCCTCTTCACTTTCTTCTTCCTCCTCTTCTTTTCTTTCTTCACAACCCCCAGATACTTATATTTTTCTTCCTCAACAAACTTCTTTTTGTATATCTCTTTTTCCTTTTCCCTCTTATATCCATGAACTTTTTCTCTTAACTAAGACCTAATTCTTTTTCTAACAAAACCCTAATCCTCTTTGTTTCTTTGTTTTTTTCTCTCCTTCTTAACCCACTTTCTTTCTTTATTTTTCCTAGCAAAACAATAAATAAATAAATAATAAAATACAACATTATATATGTATAATATATTCATTATCCACCATGTCTTAATTTTTTAGGATTTGTCATGTCGCCGTGGCCATGTCGTATCTATTTCTTGTATTTGTTTCTGTGCTTCTTAACTTGCCTTAATCCCATATGAATGGTCGGCTTCATGAATTCTCCCTCTCCATGCTTTTCTATTACATGTCATTTCACCTACAATATTTAATTTTTTAAAATCATTTTTAATAACCTCTTCCCATGTTATTTTAGGTCGTCCTCTCCATCTCTTACCATCTATTACAACTTGTCTTCATCGTTTGACAGGCGGGTATCTAAATGTTCAGAGGTGTCCCACATCAGATCCGAGTGGGAAGTGAAATGGGTATTAAATGCGTCAATACGCAGCACTACCCAATAACTTAAGCTTTTGGGTTAGCGGGCAAGCGCCCACCTATTACAATTGGTATCAGAGTTAAACCCAATTTTTGATCTGGCGTCACGCCAAGCGCCTGACCCGGAAGTGTCCAGGTTGCCACTTCGGGTAGGTAGGGTGCCCCAACCGCAACAAAGGCATTGCGAGTTCAGGTGAGGGAGAATTTTAGAGGAGTCCCACATCGAATCCGAATGGGAAGTGAAATGGGTATAAATGGGTGAGTATACAACACTACCTAATAGCTTAACCTTTTGGGTTAGCAGGCAAGCGCCCACCCGTTACACTAGGCTTCCGATGTACGTGTCCAAACCATCTAAGTCTACTCTCTCGGATTTTCTCACACTTTCATTAGTGATCCTATTTCTTCTAGTCAATCCAAGTATCCAACTTAACATTCTCATTTCCGCAATATGAAGACATTGTTCTTGAATCTTTTTTAGGGCTATACAACATAGTTGTCTAATGATAGTCCTATAGAATTTTCCTTTTAGCCTATCTGTTATTCTCTTGTTAAGAGAAAATGTGAAGTAGGTAATTTTTTTTAAACTTAGCAAATGATACGCGCACCCACATACCATGTTGCACTTCCACTTTGAACCCTCGACCTTCCACTTTGGAAGGTGAGGAAGTACCACCATGTTGCAGCCTCTGGTAAAGTAGGTAAAAATTTGACAACAATACAAATTAGACATCTATTATTCATGAAGAAAAATGTCACATGGACCGATTCGGCCCAGGCCGACCACTCACACAAAAGTGGTGGTGAGATATACCTCCATGAGAGTGATTCGACTTAGGCTGAATCGGCTCAGGTAGCATTACTCATTCATGAATAGAAAATTTATAGAAATTATTATACATGTTACATAAAATCACTACAAATAGCGAAATTTAATCAGTTTATCAAATATTTTAGAAAATTGCTAGTTAAAACGCCATTTGTTTTTCATTGTTATTGTAAATTGATACTAATTAAAAATTTAGAGCTAAAGGGTATAATTAGTAGTTTAACAATAAGGGACATTAAAGGTAATAAAGGGCAATGTTGGAATAAAATTCACTACTTCTGAACTTGAGTGGAAATATTTATCAAAGTAGGACCTTGTTGTCATAATAATAGGACTTATTGGTCTTTGCAATAAAAAGGGACTAAAGTGAAATTTCCATTTAGAATTATTGAAGACAAATAAGAATAGAAATGATGAATCCGAGGGACAGGAAATCAGACCTGGTTGCACATTTATAATATATGGTTTCAGGGGAGTTGTAAGTTCGTGCATTAGCAAACATCCTCCGGACATCTGCAACGAACATATCAAAGGTCACGTAATATTGCTCTGACTCTACTCGCTTCGACATTGTTTTCAAATCTGCAGTACACCCAAAAATTAAGAAGTATCAGAGATTCAATATCTACAGATGAGGCAGACTTAAATGGCAACTATGAAGGCACAAGCAATTGTGGTTCTGAATCATATGTTCTTTCTCAAAATTCCAATCGAGGACTCAATCTAACCAAATCCTATTTTAATGATAAGATATTGGATTCGCCAAATATAAAGCCTATACTTGACCAGATCATACAGACATCAGGTGAATTTTTCCGGCAAATTCTGAGACCTGCATTTTCAGCTTGAACGCTAACCCACTTTCAACTTCATATTACGTTGTCGAAGGCAGATAGATGGCAAGAATTTTCGAACATGGTTGAGCTTATATCCAATTTATGTGGTTGAAATTCTACCATTCAGATTATTTTCCTCATGGAACATACTTGGAACACCGTCGGAAATACTTTATAGCTTCGAGCGTCCACCAACTCATTCATGTTATTATTTGGGATATCCATATTCATGAATACACTGCTTGAGTGACTGAATTTTTAACATAAAATTGAATCTCAAAACCTTGATTTTAAATTTTTTGCCATTAGGAGAGCATTTGAAAGATTGATAACTTCAAATTAATATCACTACAAAATTTATTTCATGCTAACAGTGTTAACTACCATCTACTCCAAAAGTTTAAGCGTGTGGCCTTTTTTTGGTCCAACACATGTTTTTCAATTTTTTTTTAATTAGGGTGACGGCAAGGTTTGAACTCGAGACCTTTGGCTCTGATACCATGTTAACTACCATCTACTCCAAAAGCTTAAGCTGTTAGAGAGGGTGTAACTTAAATACATAAATCCCAACAAATAGTACATGTTGCCCAGCAAAATTAATTTTAAAAAAAATAATGTAACCTAGTAACTGAAAATCATAGCAACTCTGAAAATAGTTGGGCAATTATGTCTGCACAAATGGATTATGAGGACTAATGATGGCTGAATAGAAGGTAAATTCCAATGAGATAAATCTATAATTCAACTGATATATCTATAAATTCTACTCTTCCAGCAGTACATTAAATAATTTAAATTGCAGAAAAACCAGTAAGTAGCTGGAATGGAAAACGGTAATATTTCTTACCCATGGGATCTTTAATGATGTCATAGTAGTCGGGCACATCTCGTGCATCCACTGGTTCCTTGAATGGCCAAGCATCAGGATGGTCATGCATTACCTGCGAAAAGAAAACTATCAATTGAGGCCTAGAAATCACAAATTATATGAATCCAGAGCAAAAGCAATATAATTGTGACTCTAGAGGAGAAGAGAGTAACAAAACAAATTAAAGTAGAACAAAATAAATAAATAAATAAAGCCTTTACAGTGTCGCTATGGATTGCCAGACTTCTGTGAGAATGTGGTTCTCATCATTGAGCCACATGTCTGCATGAAAAGACTCCAACAGAGTGCTTGAATGCAAGATTAGAAGAGCGAAGAAAGGAATTTTAAGCTTGCCTTTAAAAGAGAGCGCATGAATGCAGTCAACGATTTTTGATTTGAGAAAATGTCCACAGAAGCACTTGCTGTCTTAAACCGTGAATGGCCATATTGATCAGGCGTCCACCCAGCCTCCCCTATTATCAACGTCACCATTAATTCACTTGGCATTCTAAAAGACTATATGGAAACACATAATCAAGTTGCATCAACTTAATTAAGAATAAATAAACAAACAAGCAAGAACATAGAGACTCAAATAATTTTATGCATATTGTAAATTTTGATATAACACAACCCACTTATGGTGCTTCCAGTTAAACAGAAATAACAATGTTACAAGTAACAGAATTAAGACTCTACTATATAAGCACGCTAACATATACCACGGACATAATAATGGTAATAGCTCATTTTCCCCAAAGTTACAAGGTGTACTTAAGAAACTAAAAAGAAATTCAACTGGAGAATCAATAAACTTGTGCTCAGTAAACGGTAAATGCAATTAGAATATGGGAACACAGTAACGACATAAATTCTAGACAACAAATATTAACTTTTTCGGAGGCAAGATCCAAACATAAGGCATACCATATTCCCTTAGCCCACACAATCAAGGACAATGGGCAAATCATTCAGTTCTTCTTTTGAAATTCAGTAATAACATAAAAGAGAGTAGAGAGAACTTACTCAATCCGGGAATATCTTCAACTTTGATGATTTTTTTGGGAATACCAGCTTCTTTCTGAACAAAGAAGCCCTTGATCAGGCCCAGGTTTGAAACAAACATCATTTGCATAAAACTGTATCATATCAATTTTATAAAAAGCAGTGTGATTTCCAACATATATTTTCTATGACCAATAACAGCAATTTCTTACAGCTACCTTTAAAAAAAAATTAAAAAATAAAATAAAAATAATATTAATCATATAATGTGAGAGATTTCTGATCTGTATACTTCACAAGCCATCCAATCAACATGATATATTTGTAAGTTGGTTGTTTAACGCTCAAAATCTTCAAACACATAAAATTTGTTGATAACAATTAATATCAATCCAAGGATTCTTTTTACCATTTCTCCAACAAACGCGTACTAAAGCAACCCCCGGAACACAACCGGCAAAAAATTTGAACTTGTTAAATAGTGACTTGTAGCTATGGATTTGAAGCTCTACAACTGGGATTCTTTTTCACTTTCTCTGATCATCGTCATCATCATCCTTGCCTTTCTCCCAAAAGAATGAGGTCGGCCTTTTTTCTTTTTCTCTGCTAAATGTAATTAAGCCCTTAGCCGAATATTAAAGTTCCCTAAAGAACCCAACTGAAAATTGTGATTTAGGATTCAGGTTTAATCTCTACAACTGGGATTCTTTTTCACTTTCTCTGATCATCATCATCATCATCATCATCCTTGCCTTCCTCCCAAAAGAATGAGGTTGGCCTTCTTCTTTTTCTCTGCTAAATGTAATTAAGCCCTTAGCTGAATATTAAAGTTCCCTAAAGAACCCAATATATTGATTGAAAGTTGTGGTTTAGGATTCAGGCTTAATCTAATTCAGGTATCTTACTTAAACACAATTCAACACCTTCCGGAACTGTTCATATATTTCCGGAGAAAAGGTTAATACATAACTCAAAAGAAAGTAAGAAATGTTTCAAACAAATTTTTTATAAAAGGATGCTGCACATTGAACATTACACACTTGAAATTCAGAACTGCAATGAAATAGAAGTAATCTAATTTAAGTTAACCATGCAATCAATATTCTTAATGGTGCCAAACAGACTCATAATTAGTTGGCTGAAGATGGTCTGAACAGGAAAGGATAACAAAATAGGAGAGCCAGTAGCCTTTTCCTCACATTCCTTCAAGTTAAACAGAAACACAATCGCAAGGTTACTATAATAAATGTTGATGTCATTTGAGCAAACTGTCAGAAAAACAGCAAAATTCTTTATCATACAGAACAAGCACGATATGTTATTCGATTTTAGACATGCAGTCAGGGTTCTGGGTGTGACTCACCCCTTACTCCCTTTCTCTTTCATAGTAAATCAACCATTTATGAAGAAGTAAATAATTACTCCAAATGAACATATTTGATATGCATAGAATGAATCATTAGAAGAGCAAGAGAGATTTCAGATTGTGAATCAAAGATTATGCATACCTTCTGAAAATCAATTCCAGAGTAGATAATATGACAATTTGAGAGCTCCCTGATCTTTTCATCAATTGCCTACCATTACCAAAATAGTTAGAATAGAAGTGAATCGCAGACTATAGTAATTAATCTAAAACTGAAACTAGAAAGCAAAAGTAAACTACCTTGCACTGAATAAACTACACTTTCAATTTCAATCATGTATAATGGTTCTATTATTCTTTGGTTTCGCTCGTGATACTTCAACCATTTAAAACAAATCCATACGGTCAACTTCTCATTCAACTTAGCCAGCTCATATGATACACAATCATATGAATGAACAAATTTTCATCTCACCTGCCTCTGTCTCCGAATCATAGTTGACAAATCAGTGTATGGAAGCTTTGGATCAATTTTGCATTCCATAAGGATCCCTCCATCATAATCTTTAATATATCTGAAAGAGAAATAAATATTTACTTATCAGTCCAAAGGTACTCCTAGACAGGATAGCTTAGTGTGACTGTAAACGTGAGGACAGGGGCTCAAATTTGAGAGTATCTGTTGTTTACAAAATGCTGCCAAAGATTAGATTGATCTCAATCTTCTCTCCCACCATCCCGCTTAGGCGGAATAAACACTGGGTAATGCCTTTTTAAAAAAAGAAAAAGAAAAATATCCCAGAAGTACGCCAAAATGAGACTCCTAACAAATTTATAAAAGACTTATGCTATGAAGAACTGTAATCTGACTTCAAATTAAAATAATAATAAATATAAAAATAAAAGAAAAAGAACTAAATGATTAAGAAAATACAGAGGCTAAAATACACATACCCATGCCACCGTTCTTTCTCCAAGTTTATTTCTTTTGTAAAACCCTACAAATTGATATACAAAATTAGTTCTGGTATTTAGTCAAAATCGTGATATCATCCATTCAGGAAAAGCAATATATTAGAAATTTCTTTAGGGAAAAAAAAAATATAGCAACAAATAATGCCAGATTTAAAAAACTAAGAAGAGTATCATACATTTCTCAGTAGTTGACTGGACATACAGTGGGACAACAATATTATTTTATTAACAGCTAGGTTAGAAATTCACAGATGACGGAATCATGGAGAGATTTTGGGCTCATCAGTATAAGCTTCCTTTATTTATTATATTGTAAAGTGCATCAGATAAAAAGATAGGCATGCCCGAAGAATAGTTTTACTTGGACAACTTTTATTCACCTGTTGGGACTCAAAGGAGGGATGCCGACATGGATTATTATAATTGATGGGATCATGGGAGGAAATGATGGTTGTAAGAATCTTTTATCCACTGTAATCCTGGATGGAATATCATTCAGGTTTTCTACTCCGAAATGCCCCAGAAAATGACAACAAATTTAAAACTAATTGACCTTCAGGCAGTTCAGTAAGATGTATACTTTACCTAGAGTGACCAAGGTATTGCATAAAATTATGGGGAACTACTCTATGCATACCAACAAAAGAGAAGACGGCTAACTTTACCTATATGGTTACTCTATATATACCAACAAATGAGAAGATGGCTAAAATTTTCTTATTAAAGGGCTAATTATCAATCTTCTTTGGTCTATATAAATGTTTTAATACCCCCATCCACCCCCAACAAAAAAGAAAAAAGAAAAAGGAAAAAACTGAGTTGAATTGCAACTTTACTTTTTAGTCGCAAGATATTTTGGAGAATAATTTTTACAGCAAATAACTCTTATCATCTTCATCCCAGAGGGATAAAACAAAGATCACATAAAACACTAAGTTTACCCCTCAAAAAAATTATGCTTAATTGAATAGGCATAATCACCCTATACAATAGCAACCACACCACAGAGAGGAAGAAAAAGACTGGACCTGCTTTATAAAATAACCAACAGCGTTATTGTCAGCATAAGTTAAAAAATGAGTTAGCCCATCAACATCACGTGCATGCTGCTTTAAGTGATTCATCAATCTGGTACCATAACCTTTTACTTGTTCATCTGCTGTGATTGCACAAAAAGCTATCTCCCCAAACTTTTGGCTACATCATTTGAAAGACAGGGTCAGTGGAGAGGTAAAAAAATATGGATTGAAAAATATAATTGATGGGAATAGAAAAATAACAAAGTAAAAAGGCAGCTTTATTAGAAACTTAATCCTTGCTTTAAACGAGAGCAGTAAAAAAGTACAGTATGACACAGAAGGGTTCTAGATCTTACGTAACATAAGGGCGGTATGTTATTCCACCGACAACCTGATTACGCCTTATAACCATTACAGATTTATGGGTCCTGTGTCAAATACAAAGTGAAAAGCAGATGAGAAGACAGCATTTAAAATGCCTTGAGACTACACAGAAAGTTTATATATATCGTTACAGAAAGCATCAAATGCCTAGCTACCAGCCCCAATATGATAAATCAGAAAGGAAGTTAACTTCAACTTCAGGCAATGCTTTGAGAATTAAGATATTGGATTTAATATGTTGCGGAATGTGCTTAAAACCAAAATATCTATTAAATTTATGCAGTTTTTAGTACCTAATCTATTATCACTTCAGAAGCAAAATGAATATTTGCTGGGAGTATAAATCATGAAAGTTGAACAGAAGCTCTGCAAATAACATGCAAAATACATATTTAAATAACCCCAGGCCACAAGTTCCTATGTAGGCAAAGGGGCCTTTTCGATTCTGCATCCTCACAAGAAAAATCCCCACAGGTAATTGATCTGGGGACATGGAATGTGTTTCTGCTATATAAATGAACAAGGAGTGGCAGCACATGACAATTCCACAAATTTGTGCAACTGAGTTTCCATTTTTTTTAAATAATAATTAAAAATGTATATCTCAGGTGTCAATCCAACAATTCGCACAAGTGGTGTCTCCTATTCCTCCCACACAGGAGTTTGAGGGTTCAAGTCACCATCAGAGTAATAATGGATGTCTGAGTACCTTTATCTATCAAAAAACAAATAAACAATAAAAATTGAAGTGTCTGTATAGAAGTTCTTAAATAGTTTAGTGTTGTTGATTTTTATTTCTTTTCAAACATTTGAGCTACAAATCACATTATATTTTCTTTCTTTTTCTATAGTGGCACTGTTTGGTCAAGTAAAAGAGTTTGATCATTTGATTCCTGAACCAAAAAGCATTCCATTCAATCTAAACATGGGTTTTTTTTTTTTTTTTTTTTAGTAATAATTGAATTAAAAAGGCGTTCAAGAGGAGAACGCATCCCTTATACAAAAGTGGAACCAGGGTTAAAGGCCCCAAAGAAGCCAAAAAAATAATTAAATCTTCGGGAGAGGAACAGGATTTCCTCTTCACATAACTGAAAAGAGAGCGTATGATGTGAAGTTTCAGAATCGCCGTAGACGATTCTTTTCCTTCGAACATTCTACTATTCCTCTCCTTCCAAATGTACCACCACACACAATGTGGTGCAACTCTCCAATAATCGCGAATAGCACTACTCACTCGGCATCCTCTCCAAATACGAATCAAATCCTCAGGATAACGAGGCATAACCCAACGCATACCAAACAGACAAAAGATAAGATTCCAACAATCCCTCGCCATAGGACAATGCATGAGACTATGAGCAACTGACTCACCATCTTGTTTGCAAAGGCAACACCAGTTAATAAGACAGTTGCCCCTTTTCCTTAGATTATCAATCTAAACATGGTTTAAAAACATTATTTATGTGACAATAGTTTAAAACATTTTCATGAAACATACCTGTCCATGACAAGACGAACAATGTATTCCTTAGGCATGTTAGGTAGCTGCTTGGCAAATATATTCTTCAATCCTATCAACCTGAGAAACCAAAACCAAAAAACAAATTGAACTTCATCTCAATGTACTATATCCTGATGAATGACCAAAACTTGAAGCCATTCCAGATATTGTTATAGGCTGAACAAGAAGGCAGGAATGCACAAATATAACTTAAAATTCTAAAACAAAAGTAGATGAAGCGTGGATATTCAAGAAAAGAGAAAAAGATACCAAACCATATGGTCATTAATACCATCATTTGAAACGCATACAAACTTGAGTCTACCTGCTTCCTCCTGACAAATTCCAAAAAATGACTTTAATCAATGAACAACTCCATGAAGAAAATTATATAGAACTTGATGATAATTTTTCTGAAATAGGAAAAGTAAGTGAAAAAGCTTCATCACTTGCTTACTAGAGAATGTTTTAAGATGTCGTTTACATGCCAAGACTTTAAAACATCCTTTGGGTAGTTAAAAGCAACACCCTGATTTAGTCAAATAGGTTATAAACTAAGAAACTGTATGACAAACACGTGCAAATAGTAGTGGTAGAAGCCAAAGGACAAAATTGATACTGTTTCTGCTCAATTAACATAGGAATTTACCACTGACATGGTCATATAGATACACCCACACATTGTCTCACATCCATGCATTCACTACACACGAACACCATTGAGATTTGGATGCTTCTAACAAAGAAAAAATGAGCATAAAAACCACAAGGTCGATAAAGAATAACTGACTGACCACAGTGATACCACAATATTCCACAAATTTTGCAAGAATATCCTCAAGATCAAGAATTGTAAATGAACTCTCTGCAAGATTCCCATTCCCAACTATTTAAGATAAGTCCGACTTTTCCTCCCTTTGTTTGAATAATATATGAAACATGTCTTTAAAGGAATCAAGGAGTGAGTAGAGAAAACCAAAACAACAGATTAATACCAAATAGTCAGCAATAGAGCTAACCCACGTTCCTTGTACATTAATTAATAGCTCATCTGTGACATCTCAATTGATCAGCAAAATCTCAGTATATCCTGCACTACTCCACATGAATTAAATCATCCCTGGCTCTAAATAGCCTTCCTCTGACAAACTCCATTGTATTTCCGAGATTCACGATATTTTGTGAATTAAATCTGGGAACCTAAAATTAAAAAGTTGTTTGTAATACAGCACGTTGGGAGATTCTAGGATCACAACAACATAAACATTAGCAATGATTTGAAGGAAATCAACATAGAGAGCCTGTTATAAATTTAGGTTTCAGTTAGACAATAATTACTGACTACTTTCAAAAGTTCAATAATTACTGACTACTTTCAAAAGTTCCATAGTAGACATAATGTGACAAGTAATAGCCATATCACCACAGTTATCATTTAATAAGCTACTCCAACCGTGTTTTGTTTCCCAACAAGGCCTACAATACACCATCCCAAAACGAAACACGAAACAAAAAAATTGCCAACAGACCCTAAGTTAACAATATTTTAATAGAACAGTATTAGAAATTTGAAACAAAAACACTGACCTCTCTCTTCAAACTCTCTTCCCTAGCACTGTAAGCCCCACTAGTCTGTATATTATCTGTAAATATATTCTTCACAGTATCTTCCTTGGCCACAATCCCCGGAACCAAACCTGCAACTGCTGGTGCGACAGAAGCGCCCAAACCTGCACTGCCGCCTTCTTTCCCAACCTCCGTAGGCTCAATCTTCACCGAGTTCTCAGTCTTGAGCTTCGTGTTTCTCGCAGGCACAGCCGCATTCTCCAACCGAGACGCCGTGAAGGTCCGCATGGAGTCGTCATATTCGGACTCGTCGTCATCGACGACCTCCTCGGACTCGTCGTCCGAATCCGATTCGGCGCCACGGGCGCTGATGCTCTCAAGTTCGTCGTTGGAGGTTAGGGCACCGTCGCGGGTGTCGGAGAAGGAGGGGAAGGGCGGTGCTTGGTCGTCCGCCGCAAGCTTGCGCTTGTGGATAGAGGAGGTGGCGGAGGCCGAGGCGGAGTGGGACGGTGACGGTGACTGTGAGCTCCGAGAACGAACTGGTGCTGCTAAGTGAGATGAATGAGTGTCCATTGCTTTTGATTTCTAGGGTTTCTACTATAAATATATAGATTTTGAAGAAAATAAGTTTCTTTTCTAGGTTTTCTCCAAGAGATTACGGTTAGATTTCTAGGGTTTCTCCAGGAATTGAAATTTTCAAGAATTAGGTTTGATCCTAAGGTTGGGGTTTCATTTCTTGGATTTAGTCCTAACGGTTATGAAGATTTTGAAAGATTGGGTCATCTGGTTCGTATATACTATTACCAATTGTGGTGGCTACTGCTATCATTGTCCGAGTAACAGAATTTTTTTTTCTATAATTATTTTTTTATTTGTCAATGTGTTTGGGAAAAATTACGAAATTGGTAAATATGAACAAGAAAAGAGACCAACGACCATGTCCCGACCGTTTTGAACAGGCCTGAAATGGATAGGTTACTAATGTTGTAAGTAAGTTTTACTCCCATATGTCATTTTGAGGACTCAAACTTTACCGTGATGCAAAGAAGATGTTAATAAACAATGGCAAAACCTGTTCATATGTTATAATTATATCGTGTTAATTTAAGGATATTAAGAATATTATATTAAGTAATTAAATTCGAATACGACTTATTTAATAATAATATCAAAAAACTCTTAACACTAAGTTAACATATTTATTAAATAAATCAACGTATTTGTTAAGCAGGTTACACGTGTGATTCATTTAATAATCTATTTACAAGAACAAAATATCCTATTATTTAAATTATTAATAATCCTCAATTAAACAGTAAATACTAAAATATATATATAAATTTCAATCAAATTACTAAATAGTTTATAGTTTACAAAAAAGTAAATTATAAAATATAAGTTTAGATAGTAATTTTGGAACTTGAATAAAAATTTATTGATGACACCTATAGTTAAACGTGTATAAACGGGTTAAACCCCTCAATCCAAATACGAAACGAGTTAATCGTATTAATTCGTTTATAATCCAAAACTGTTTAAAGTCAACTCAAACCCGTTTAACTCGTATAGTATTCGAGTCATATTGGAGGTCGTGTCAAATTTTGCCACCCTTACACAAAAACACAAGACCCTTGGTAAAAAATATTAAATAATTCAATGTATTAAATTTCCAATATCTTATATGATACTTCGATTAAATTTTTAAAAAAATTAACCAAAAAAACTATGAATTAAACAAATTTGTGTCAAAAATTTTTTTTTATAAAATCATATTTATGTTGATACCGAAAAGAAAGATTGAGGAAAATTAAATAAATAATGTAAAAAAAAATAAAATTTTGGACGAACTTAAATTATGGGACATTCTTAGAATTGGATTGTTTTTCGAATATTTCTCTTTAGTTTATATACAACCATCTTTATGTTTTTGTCTAACAATCATAATTGTGTCACCTATTATGTTTGGCTTTTATTATTAACTTAATTCACATAAGATTCTTTCGCATTAATTAAAAACTAATGGTAAAGCTGAGTTTTTTTTTTTTATTCTTTTTTCATGAGATCTAATTTAAAGTAAGATGATATTTAGATTTGCTTTTCAGAATGAAACAATTAATTGTCTTAATGAATGATCCCTACTTCAAGTCATCAATGATTTTTAACGATTTCACTTGGACAAATAGGTTAACAAGAACCTTAATATCATTACACTGTTTCAGTACTTGAAAGGGCTAGCATTTTCGGTTATGACTCATAACTGAAGCCTGGGCCAAAAATAAGAAGTTAGTGTCTAGGATCCTAAATTAGGGCCCAATCTTCCAGCCCAACACCATAACATTCCATAGATTCGACCCCAATCTAATGGGAATATAAATCCTCACCCTGTTCTAAGATCAGGGAATTGTCTGCCCATGGATCAGCATTTCCCTTTCCACCTCTTATTTTATAAGGGACTTCACTGACTTCTTTACACAAGGAAAGAGTCATATAACCTGTTTCCTTCTATTTTAACAATTCTATGCGGTGGATCCAATCCTAATTTTATTTGATCTTGTGTTCCATAATCGGTGTTCACTGTGGCAGATCAAATGTCCTCATCAAACAAGATTTTTTTTCCAAAAAAAAAAACAGTGACATCAATATTACTTTAATTGATGGGTTATCTGCAGTAAAGATTAGAACTAAAGCCATAAGAAGTTCGAAAATTGCATAGAAATCTAAAGAAGTATACCAATATTTACATGGCTAAACATTCGAAATAATCATAATAGTAGGTCAATCTGGCCATAGGAACCCTTTTTCATTTGCATATACCTGTAGTAGAACTGCTTTCTAGCCAAGATTCTCACTTGCTTAATGTACATTTCAAAAGTCACTACCCCTTGCTCAACTGCCTTGTCCAATGCGTAAATTAGATCATCCATGGCCCAATCTGCAGCCAAGCAATCCATCAACCTTTTTGATTCGTCATCCACAGTTTCAAATACATCATCAATTTCTATGGCAGCAACAGAGTTCTTATTATGATCATGAACTTTCACCCAATTCAATAGCACATCAGCTTCTTCCATCAAATCTTTCGTTCTCTTCTTTAAGCTTGTTCTTTCGTGCTCAAGCCCAATGATCATGCTTGTCGTGACATCAACTCGCTTCACCATTTCAACCTGCAGGACAGATAGCTCTTCTATTTCCTCCTCGGTTTTGGCCCTTAAGGCCACCGTGTCATAGTGAAGGGAACAGGCAACGCGGTCAAGAGCCTCCCTCTTTGAAAAGCGGGAGGGATGAACAAAACTAGAGGATGGTGAATAATAGAAAGGATGGCTGTGGGAGAAAAGTTTGAGGAGGTTACGGACAAGGTTGGAGAGATTGCAGCGGGGATAGAGCCAAGTTTCGAGGTAAGGGGTGGTGATGGCACCGGAAGTATCAACAAAGGAATGGTCACGACGAATTGGGTAATTGGAATTTGATGAGACAAAGACAATAGGGGGCATGTTAGGGTAGTCCTCATGTAGCCAAATGGCTACGGGGATGGCAATTGTGGAATGAGGAATATGGAGCTCACCAGTTGCAATCAAGAGGTTGACTCTAGTGCCATCATTGTGAGTGAAGGTATCTATTGAAGGGTTGAGAGAAGGGAAGTCTTGAAGCAGTGAAATGAGATGTTCTCGGATTAGCCATTTTTGGTCAGGGTCTGTGTAGGATAGCATGAAAGGGCTAGTGCAGGAAAGCGCTGCATCAATGAATTGGATTGCAGATTGTGATGACATTGTGGCACCCAATTTAGTCCACCAAAATATCAGAGATGTGAAATTGTTGAAGCAAAAGATGAGGCTGTAAATGTATATAAAATGCGTGCGATATGTGTGTGCGCGCATGAACTTTTATTTCTCAATAGAAAAAGACTTTAGAGGGTTGAGTCAATCTTTGAAAAGTTAATAAATGGTTTTCAGTTGATTGGAAGTTTTATGCGGACGTAAAGGAGGTTTCCAACTTCATTTAATCCTATTAATTAAGTCATTAATTAACTAACCAGTCAATACTTACTCAGCAAATTGCATTTTTTTATGTTAGGTTAGATGGATGGATAACTGAATTAAAGACTAGCTAAAATGTTGCTCGTTTGTCAAGTGTCCAATTCAATCTCTGTGTTTGGTCGGTTTGATCTGGACTAGCAGTTGATAAAGTATTCAAATTCTAACGAAAGGTTTGCACTTTGATCAACCAATCCTTATTATTTGAAGGAGATTGATTTGTCCATAATCATATCAGCTGGCACAAATACATCATAGAAATGATGAAATATACTTTATTTGGCATCTGAGAAAATGGAAATTAAAGGAAAGTTGACCAGAAAAGGGGTGAGAAAATTCAATAATAGAACAAACATAGAAACCACTGGTTCGAGTAAGGACCAGACATTAGCCGGTATATAACATTGGAATGGCTAGCCCTGAGAGAAATCTCTGCCTAGTAGTTTTTTTTTTTTTTTTTTGATTTAAACCTTAAGATACGTGCACCCTTTCTTAGTCGGGTTGTCTCTCTCTCCACACACACATACACACACACATATATATAACACACATAGCTCACACACACATACGATATGTGTGTGTGTTATATATAATCTTCAAAAGATGGAGGCTTGTTCAGTTATTTTTGCCAAAATCCCACCATTATGCACTGTGAGGAAAATATACAAACAAATATATTAGGTTGGTTACAAGTAGCTAGGTGGAGGTCATTTAGGAAAGAGGCAGCACACCTACTTTTGCCTAACAAAGCAAAATAAACATCTTAATTTGCTTCTACTAAACCATGGTTATTTAGTTTATTTTATTTTTATTTGATTATTTCCCTTTATTTTGTGGAAGCATACATGATTGTAAACTTTTTTCTTGTAAACTATTTTGAAACAGTAGAGCATATTAAATAGCTATGAAAACCTTCTTCTTTTTTTCTTTTTCCCTTTTTCCTTTTTTTTTTCTCTTCCAAACAATGTTCAGAAACAATAGTAGAGCATAATAAATAAAAAAAATTATAAAAAAAAAAAAAAAAAACCGCTTGTGAAAACACTTTTTTTTTATGAATAAGTTCAAGAAGTTTTCAGCTGCCATTTGTTAGTTTAAATAATAAAATTAATAGTTATATATATATATATATATATATATATATATTGGTAGGTAATTAATTGACACACACACTTCCTTGAACCTTGACGAGTTAAACAAGGCCAGGCAGTAAAGCCAACAAGAGTTTTAAAACACAAAGGCAGGCAGAAAACCATGCATACAAGTAGACAATATATTAATCGTGACATAGGCAGATAGTCAAATTAAGAAAGAACCACACAATTAGTTCTGTAAAACAAAATTTTCATATTCCAAATGACATATATTCTCTCCGTCATACAATCGTTGATAAAATCAACGCATCTAATCTGATGAAAAAAATTACAACATAACATGATCAACGAAATAAAATCCTTGTTTTGGAGTCATGTAAATAAATGAACTCCTCAACATAAATATGTGATTTGAATTAATTTGTAAAATTATGTTTTAATATTTAATTTGTTGATTAGAAAAAGTTGAGAACGCAACTCCAAAAGAATTCTTAATTTGGGCTATCATCCAATCAAATTGGAAGCAGAAATTGAAAAAGCGGAGAATTTTCACCCGAAAACTTACTTGGCAAGCTTTGTCTACCGTGTATTGAAGGAGAGGAATAACGGCATCTTCAGAAACAAATCAATTCCGATCCTCCATTGAAGATGTTAAAACTTGACCATCGATTCGGTGAGACGACGACTGTTCTCCATCAAAAAACATGAATGTCGAACATCGCAAGCAGCTGGAATCTTCCACCATCCTTCTTTGAACCAAACACGACCAACCCGGCCATTCCACTCCTCCTAAATGCCATACACAGCTCTGATCAACACTTTCAATATGTGAATGTTGATGTTCCCACTTGTAGTATGGTAGTTGGTAGTTACAGGGGATTGGGGCCTTTGGGCCTGGGCTTTTTTTTGTAAGTGTTGTAACTATTTGGGCTTTTGTTTTCATTTTTAATGCCCATTTGGGCCTTGGGGTATTTGCCCCATGTCTTTTGTATGTAACTTTTTTTGTGTAATACAGTATTATCTTACTTACAAAAAAAACACGCATGGATTATTACATTGTGACGTACGTATTAAAATGGTCTTCTTATAAAAGAAAAAAAAAAATCATGTTTACGTATCTTAAATTAAAATTATGAGCTACTTAAAGTTGGAACTTTAGTTTGATTTTTTACTTATCAAAAAAAATAAAAAATCTTTAGTTTGATGGAATTTGGTCTGTATACATTTTATTATTACATTTTTTTTAATAGAAAGTTATATTTATTTCATTGCTTGGTTACAAATATTGGAATTGATGCAAAAATGTAGGATCGGTGTGAGGGAGAAATCTCAAGTTTATTATATATTTACCACATTTTTATAAAAATGAAGTAGGATGAAAAATGTGGAGAATAAAATGTTTTTTAATTCCTTTTTTTTTAAGAATTAAAATCTCACCTTTACTGTCACATGATTCTCCTGTTCCATTAACCCAATGAAGAAGCTTCCTGTAGAACAGGAAAACAGAACTTCCACGTCTAATTTTAACACGTGATTCTCATGGACTCCAATGCTTAAGCCAACAAATACTGAACTTATAAAAGAGTAGTTGTGTTGACTGAACTTATAAAATCAACTACATAAAAAAAAAAATTAAATAAATAAATAAATTGATTTGATATTTTAGTCCTAACTCTATCATCTTTCAAAAAATTCAAAATTGTCTACAAATGGCCATGGCCCATGGCATGAATCAAATTATTCCAATTTGCTCAAGATTATCATAATTTTTGTTCATTTGAGATTAATTATCAGATAAATGAGACAAAGTGGATCACATATTAATGAATAGTGGTATTTGGATTAACGAGTTATGCAAAATTCTTTAACCAAATATATTTGATTGGTTATTAATGAATGGGATAAGAAAACGGATAATTTCATTTTTTTATATTTGCTGCGTATGTATTGATTAATTTTTTTTTTTTTTTTTAAAAAAAAATAGGTCTAAAAATTTTAGACAACTCATTGACTTCACGGTTTCCAACCATACCAAAGAATTAATAGTTAGTCTTTTAGATTCACCATTCCATATCAATTGATTTTGATAAATCAACTTTTATTTATCAACAAAATGTAAATGCAAATGCCAACCCAACTTGTCCGAGTTGTAACTCTATTATATAAACCTAAATGGATTTATGTCACCTCTTCACATCAACTGATTTTGGTCGATCATTATCAAGGCGCGCAAATGCAACTGTCTAACCCAATTTTTCCGAGTTATAACTCTATCATATGAATTGGACATGATGTTTTCCTAAATAAGTTTGATGTCACCTTCTCACGTGATTTGGTTTTAGTCAGTATCAATTTTTGTTATAAAAAAAATGCAAATGTCTAACCCAAGTTGTAGATCTATGATATGAATTAAGCATGAAGCTTTTCAAACTGGTTTAATAGAATTAGCATCATTTTTGGTACACCATACTGTCAGTTGTTATTTAGTGCACAAGTCAAATAATAAATCGAAATGCTATAGTGTAACATTCATACAATATCGAACTAAACATTTTTATAACATATAACATATTATATCAAAATATAACATTGTAACACCCCTATTACGATAATACAATGTGTTTTAAAAAATAACATTGTGTTTATGTAACAATTTTGGATTTAAGAGGGGCTAAGTGTTTATAAGTATATATAATGTGTTTTCACTTGGGTAGAGTAGCATAATCAAAGGCCTGCATGTATTGATAACAGAGAAACAAAATCAGAAAGATTACCCACCCACTGCACAAAATTGAAAACGAAAATTGAATTTTGAACAAAATGAAAAACATGTAATGTAAGAAATATTAACCCAGCTAGTGAGTGAAGATAAGTCATCAAAGTCCAAAAGCGATCCATTGTTCTCCTTAATTTCTTGTTCAACAAAACAGATTTTAAACTGCGTGAGTAAAGAAGAAGACTAGAAAAGGTTAAGTGTAAAATGCATTTGTATGGTTTTTTAAGTTTTGTTTTTAGTTTAATTCTATCTGGAATAATTTTTGGAGCCATCGATGTGAGGATAAACGATTCGGAAAATATGATGTCGATTTGGAAAAAATTTCCAGACTACAATTATCGGATCGATGGCTTCTTTTGTTATTCTTATTTTTGTTTTTCTTGTCTAATTTATTTCATTCCATAAGTATCTCTCTAATTTAATAATTTAATTACAAAGAACAAGGACACAATCTCTAAACAAAAAACCATACAAATGCATTTTAGGACAAAGAGAGAGTATATAAAAACCATACAAAATGACAATACAAATGCATGATATCTTGATCTATGGCACTGCTCCAAAATGCTCTTTGTAGTGATATTAACTATGCCTATGGTTGAGTTGAATTATGTTTTAATGGATCCATTACTTTTGAAACAATCCTTTGGAACTGGGTTATGTGAGTACCAATTAGGAAAAAAAAATCTAAAATTTGTTACTATTTAAAAGAGAAACAAAGACGCGACTTGTTTCAGATATAAATACAAAAGAGGAGAGAGAGGGATGATCTTTTTTTGGAAAAGAAACACGGTACAGTTTTTAAAATTTCTTTAAATTAGTTGACGTGATTTAACACCAACAGTATATAAGTTTTAAAGTTACCTATCATTGTATAAGGTTTTCAACTTAATATTTAATTTAGAGGATCCAAGTCCGTCAAAGTATACAAAAGAATTAATGATTTTAGTCTTTTAGATTCACCATTCCATATCAATTGATTTTGATAAATCAATATTTGTTTATCAACAAAATGTAAACGTAAATGCCTAACCCAACTTGTTCGAGTTGTAACTCTACTAGATAAACCTAAATGGGTTTATGTCACTTCTTCACATCAACTGATTTTGGTTGATCATTATCAAGCGCGCAAATGCAAATGTCTAACCCAATCTTTCCAAGTTATAACTCTATCATATGAATTGGACATGATATTTTCCTAAATTGGGTTGATGTCACCTTCTCGCGTGATTTGGTTTTAGTCAATATCAGTTTTTATTATCAAAAAAATGCAAATGCCTAACCCAAGTTGTAGATCTATGATATGAATTGGGCATGATGCTTTTCAAACTGGTTTAATAGAATTAGCATCATTTTTGGTACATCATACTGTCATTTGTTATTTAGTGCACAAGTCAAACAACAAATCGAAACGTTATAGTGTAACATTCAAACAATATCGACTTAAACATTTTTATAACATATTATATTAAAATATAACATTGTAACACCCCTATTAGGATAATACAATGTGTTTTAAATATATATATATAGAAAAAATAACGTTAGTGTTTATGTAACAGTTTTGGATTTAAGAGCGGCTAGGTGTTTATAGTAATTAATTAATTATTAGTGAGGGCGGCGTTAATTGTGAGGGTAAGATTTATGGATTGGGTAAGAGGGGGCTAGGTGTTGTAAGTTGTAACAAACAAACAAAAAGCATCTTTTGGGCCAACCAGGAATTTTATGCTTCATTTTTATTTATTGATAGATACAGATTTTTTCAGTATCTGAGGGCGGTTAATTTCATACATATGCTCAACATGCTCTTTTGTAATTTTCTACTACCACATATCCCTCTCTCTACAAATTCAAAGTTCCTCCTCTCTCTCACTCTTTCTCTCACTGTTTATTTTAAATACCCGGCCATCTCCATCTCTCCATCACCAAATTATTAATCAAAGTCCTTGGGTTTGATCATCTCTCTTTCTTTCATGGAAGCAAAGCTAATTGTAGAAAACAAGACCCTTATTTTCTCAACTGGGTATGGAAGGAGACGTGACATGCAGAAGCAGAAACACTCACCTTCTATTGTGGCTGTAGCGACAAGGCCGGCGACAACGATCACCGAAAACGTTGATGATCGGAGGAGAGTTACGAGCTCAAAGAATAGTACTACTACTGTTTACAACGATAACTGGTTCGACCGTCTTGCCACTCGCCATCTCTCCCGTAGTGTCCAAGATACGACAGGTTCTTTTCATTCATTCCTTCTACATATGTTGACGTTGCTTATTTATTTCTGCTAATCACTCTCAAGATTACTACTATATAATATATATATATATATATATATATATATATATATATATAATATTTGTGTATGCACAGGGTTGAGAAACAATAAGGATGGATACGAGGGATTGGTGGAGGCAGTAAGGGTGGTATCGAAAAACTTTAATCCAACCCAACAAAGTGAACTTGTGATTCAAGCTCTTGACAAAGCCTTTCCAAGGCCTATCCTCTCCCTGGCAAGTTTCTTAATATCGGTCACTCTCCGATTTTCTTGTCATCATCATCATTATTATAATATACATATAATATACTTAAATTAATCCGCTTTGTTTACTTAATTGGATGCAAAGACATATATGTAGGGCAATTACTTGCAGGTTCTGGTCCACCCACAAATTTACACAAAGTTTTTTATTACAAAATAATTAATAAGGAAAACACGAAGGACGATATATTGAATACAAATTGTGACATACCCCAAAAGTATTTTTTTATTTATTACAATTTTAATTTTATAATTAGAGACAATTTTTTTTTTTTTTTTTATAAGTAAAATTGTATAAAAGTGCCTAATTAGAAACAGTAAATGCACATTTATGATTGGACCACATCAATAATAAGAAAAAAAACATTTACTCACGAACTAATAGATAAATATTATCAAAATTTTAATTTCATTTCTGTATTCAGGGAGCCTTAATTTAATTGCCTTTCCGGTAATTACGAGGACTAGGAAACTAATTACGCTTTGCCATGGAATCGAGATAGTGGGGCGATCATCAATTCATCACTATCTAAATAGGAAATATAGATAGATAGATATACACATATACGTATATATATTAGCGGAAAATGATATGTTAATAAATTTTGGCTTGCGTCAGCTTATTTGATATTTTGACCTTAGATGTGACTCAACCAAAAATGGTAGGAAAGGCTTTTAATTTTTTTGAGTTGATGAGTTAAGTTGTCAATTATATGAATCTATTGGCTCTCGGGCGGGCTTTGCGTGTGAAAAGTATCCTTAATCTACATATAAAACGACCTTATATAATTGGTGAAACTACTATTTGTAATACCTTTTTTTGGCAAGTTTTAGAATGGGTTTGGGATTGTAGAGGGTTCTCTCTCGTGCATTATTATTATTTTTTGAAATGCCCAAACACAACTAGAGATCTAACTGTTTATGCTTGTATTTTATTATATTGGCAGATGAGAACAATGCTATCGCAATCTAAATTCACAAGGGAATTTTTTGCCACCTTCACTACCATATTTTTTGCTTGGCTTGTCGGTCCATGCGAGGTAAGAGCGACAAAACATATACGACTGCTACCAAGCATTTTATTGCCTCAATACCGTTTTGCTCAAAATATTATATATACATGATCGCTTCCTTGGAACAATCAGACCATGTCCATGTATTGGCGGAATTAACAATCCTCCCGTGTATAAAAATAAAACCAAACAAGACTCTCCCTAATGTTATATGCATTTACATAGGACTCGTTTGGGACTAGGGATGGCAATGGGGCAAGACGGGTATCTCATTCCCCATTCCCATCACCACTGAATTTTTCAATCCCAATCCCGCTTAAAATTTCGCCCCCACCCCCGACCTCTTTCCCCACCCCCGGCCCCGATTAACACAGATTATTTTTTTAAAAGCACATAATTTTTCTTATTTTCATATATATAATAAATCTAATTTAGTAATAAATTATTAAATATAAAGGTATATTAGTAATTTAATACTTAATCGGAACGGGACGAGTTTACCCCATCCTCGCCCCCAGTCCGGCGAGTTTTCAAAATTTACCTCCATTTTCATCCCCGTTTACATAAAAGGATCCCCATCCCTGTTATAAACCACGCGAGACAGGGTGAGGCGGGACGAGAACCCGACGGGGATGGAGAATTTGCCATCCCTATTTGGGCCTACTTGAATGGCTTTCAGTATCCTTTGTTCGGGAGAATATAATCAACGCACATACGGACATATAGCTATGGTGGGGGAACATTCTAAATAGTTTATGATGTCACCATTTCACTGGATCTTCTCGGGTCCTTGGACCCACATGGTAGCCCAACTTATTTACTTATAATGCTTATGTATACCTGATAAATCAATTGAGATTTGGAATACCAGCTTCATTTACATACGAATATTGAAGCATCAATAGATGAACAAAACAAAATCCAACACTGCACACACACAAATGGATGGTTCACTGAAGCTGAAAATTAAATCTCCTGGGAGTAATTTATTATTATTTTTTTTATACAAGGTAAGGGAGATGGAATTCGACGGAAGCAGAGAGAAGAATGTAGTCCACATAAAGAAATGCAGGTACTTTTTTGCAGTCTCATTCAATTTAATAGACATAATGACTACAATGGGACCTAATTAACCTAACTAAAGACAACTTCAAATGCCCGACAACAATCTGCTCCAGTCATTGTGCTAGTCCTTGGGCTTCTTTTTTTTTTTTCCCTATTGCCATCATCACATCAGCTTAATATTAAAATGTCAAGCAATTATATCATCATCTACATATATATTGCAAATCATTTAGCATTTCTATCATCATGAACATCATCATTATCATCAGCTCAGATCGTTTCTAAAATTTTGCAGATTTTTAGAGGAGTCCAATTGTGTCGGAATGTGCATCAACCTTTGCAAGATCCCGTCTCAAAAGTTCATTAACGACTCCTTGGGAATGCCAGTAAACATGGTCCCTAGTAAGTATGTAATGACAGCAATTGCAAGCCCCTTTCTCATTCACCAAATCTTTGATCCTGCAATGCATGGCTTAGACTTGTGAAAACATCATCAAATACACTTTCTCATTTAGGGGATAATCAACATAGATTGCATTTCAGTTGAAGGTCGCCAAATAAACATTCACAAATTTGCATTTCAAAGAACACAATTATAAGATTGCACGTTTTATGAATCTGAAAAGGCAAAAAATGTCTACACGATAAAACTATTAAATGAATATTTATCAATGCAACACCTTTCAAATATATATTTATCAATGCAACTACACACTCCCGAAATTTCAACTTAAAGTAAATATACTGTACTCAAATGAACTAAAGAGCAGAAAAGAAAAAGGAATCAAAGGGTAACAGAACCTGCACTAGAAAATGGAGGTCTTGCCAATCATCTCAGTGGAGGGCCCCATGAATAAACCACTTAGGGAGCATCACTGCAAGTAGGTCCATCAAAACACAGTTAAGAATTCCAGGATGTAATTCAAATATAGTTATTAATTGACATAATACACATCGACGATATTAATACCTGAACGGGTCGTTTATTCTATGTTTACGATCCTACCATATTAAGCAGAAGTCTCATGAGTAATACCGTGTACCCCACCATGATGTTAGAGGAGAACATCAAGCTCCTTTGTCTACCTTGAAGAAAATCATCTTCGTGTGGCCTACCACATGTCCAAGTCCACTTACTGAAAGCACCCAAGCTTAACATTAGCAATCATGTTCCTCTGTGACAATCAATTGGTGCGATGTGCAGGAGCACTTGAATTAACAATCTACGGTCTGTAACATAACAATGTTGTGATGCATCAAAATTAATCCATCAATTGATATACACAATTTATATAATTATACTGCAATATTTCATATGCAGATTTTGATGATATGAGTTGTGAGATGATATTCGGTCAGTGTCCTCCCGCGCCAGAGAATGATCCAGCACTTGGGCAACCATGCTATAAACTATGTAAAGTTTCAAGAACCCTTTCGCTTGCATATTTACATTTCCTCAAACAGGTCTTCCCTAGTTCACTTCTTGGCATGGGATGAAACTTCATAATAGATCATCCCACCAGCCAGATGATTGACTGCTGTATAGGTAGATTGTACGAGCTTTCATACGTACCAAAGGGAGAACTGATGCTTTGATAACAAACTTGAATATTAATAATGATATTCTACATCTCACATTTCTCCAAATAATTCATGCAGGTAAAGCAAAGCAAAAGCACAGCACAAACTGCTCCAGCTAAAGCAGAAGCACAAGGAAGGACATTTTCAAAAAAATCCTCATCCCTGATTACCATTTGTCAGATATATCATTTTAAATTATCTATAAATAACTTGTTAATATATCTTGATTATCAATTGTACAAGATGCATTTCAGAATTTTCTTTTTATCTGTTCAGGCACTCTTTCAGATGAGTTTTTTGAGATTCAGGATGACCTGTTACCCATCAAACTGATGCAAGTATAAAGGAATTCAAGCATAAATAATCAGATGTTTTTATTGTCGTTCATAATCTTAATGGTAATGAGTGCCTAAGCAATGCTAATTGCTTTAAATAAAATTTTAAATGTTTTGTTTTTTCAGTATGTAAGAACAATTTTAATAATCTATTGTTGAAGCACTTGTATCACCATCCAAAAATAAAGAGCCATAAAGGTGACAAGAATATTCTTAATTTTCTGTGGGATCAAAACTAGGATCCAGAGAATGACGTGTTTGAAAGAAATATGCAGTATATCGTGAAAGCCACGTTTAAAGATGCACATCAGGCAGGATTTGATGACTAAGTTCGAGAACAGATTGCTGAAGTCTGGGAATTTATATTTCAAAGTGGGTATGTGTGATAAATGACAAGATCGTGGACTTATTTTGCAGCCCATAAACCCAATTGAGAACCTTAGTGTCAAGTCATGATTTTGTATGTTGTAATTCACATATAGAAAAGGTCAATGCCCAGTTCTGATCCTTCCAGTGGGGAGTGCACTATGAAGGAAAGAACAAACACTTCTGGCATATTTTGCCCTCACCCACATCCTCATACTTGTCATCCGCAACTTTTTACCGTCGTGTCAAGCAATGACCCCAAACATCTGAATGCTTCATACAGATAATTCAAAAGAATGATAATTGTTTTTTTATTTTATTTTATTTTATTTTATTTTATTTTTTGATAAGTAAAATGTATTAGAAAGCGTTCAATAGGGGAACGCATCCCAAGAGCTGTACAAAAACCAAAAACAAAATAAAGAAAGCCTAAGGATCCAAAGATCCCAAAAAGTCCATAAGCTCCTCAACAGAGGAAAAATCTCTCCCCATACCCGAACAAAAAAGAGAACAAATAATAGAATACTTAAGAGCCCCAATGGATAACTCCTCCCCAACAAAGGGGAGTCGCCCTCCAGAAATCGCGAACTCGAGCCCCCACCCTTTGTCCCCTCCAGATATCAATAAGACCCTGTGAAGTCCGAGGCATAACCCACTGAATACCAAAAAGACCCAACATAAGACTCCAACAGTCATGGGCCACTGGGCAGTGCAAGAGAAGGTGATCCACAGACTCTTCATCGGTCTTACACAGACAACACCGATAAACAATGACATGTCTCATCTTCCTCAAATTGTCCAGAGTTAGGATCTTGCCCCAAGCAGCAGTCCAAGCAAAAAAAGCCACCATAAGAGGAGCCTTCGAATGCCAAACCGTCTTCCATGGATAAGAAGGGGTTTGAAAACCGGACAAACAAAAGAAGAAAGACCGGACCTGAAAAGTCCGCTGCAAAGAAGGCACCCAACTCAAAAGGTCCACCCCAGTACCAGCCACCTCCTGTCGATACAAAAGGTCCAAAAAGGCAGTGACATCATCCAACTCCCAATCCTAAAAAGCTCGCCGAAACCGAACATCCCATGAAAACCTACCGCTATCAAGGCAATAGCAGTCGGCAACCAAAGCATAGCAATCCACAGCAATCCTGAACAACCTTGGAAACTGATGACATAATGGACGCTCCTCATACCACGGATCCTCCCAAAACCGGACACTCCGACCTTCCCGGACTCTGAATATAATATGCTTAGAAAACTCATCCCAACCCTTCCCAATGGACTGCCACACACCCACACCCACACCCACACCAATAGCAGATCTAGCCTGTTGAGCAGACCAACCCCCTATATCCTCCCCAAACCGACAAGCAACGATCTTCCTCCAAAGTCTATGTCTTTCACTGCCAAACCTCCAAAGCCATTTGCCAAGAAGGGCCCTGTTGAAGGCGGCCAACCTCCGAATCCCAAGGCCTCCTGACTTGAGAGGCTTACAGACCTGCTCCCACCGAACAAGACGATACTTAAACTCCTCCCCCCTACCGCCCCAAAGGAAATTACGTTGAATCATCTCAAGTCTCCTGACAACAGAGGAAGGAATCTGGAACAGAGAAAGGAAATAACTTGGGAGGCTGGATAGGACACTCTTCACCAGCGTAACTTTTCCTCCCTTCGAAAGATATTATTTTTTCCATCCAGCCAACCTTCTCTCGAAGCGCTCAACAACCGGGTACCAACAACCCACCCTTCTTGAGGAGACCCCCAAGGGCAAACCCAGATAAGAAATAGGGAAGGAACTCGTCTTACATCCAAGGACAGCTACCAGGGAGTTCACCTCTTGAACCTCCCCCACAGGAACAAGCACACTTTTTCCCACGTTAGTTCTCAAACCAGAAACAGCCTGAAAACAAACCAGGACACATCTCAGGTAACGCAATTGTGACTCATCTGCCTCACAAAAAACCAACGTATCATCCGCAAACAGCAAGTGAGAAATCTCCAATTGATGAACTGTCTCAAGACCAATCTTGAAGCCCCGAATAAGCCCCAAGGAAACAGCCCTCCTCATCAGCCTGCTAAGAGCCTCCATAACAATAATAAACAAGAAGGGGGAGAAGGGGTCCCCTCGCCTCAAACCACGAGAGCTGCCAAAAAACCAGAAAGGGGAGCCATTAACCAGCACCGAAAATCTGACAGACGAAACATAAGTAACAATCCAATTCCTCCATCTCTCACAGAAACCCATCCTCTCAAGCAAATAGAACAAAAAGTTCCAGCAAACATGATCATAGGCTTTCTCGATGTCCAGCTTACACAGAACTCCAGGAGCGCCGCTACGAAGCCTAAAATCCACACATTCACTAGCAATGAGAACGGAATCCAGAATTTGTCTGCCCCCAATAAACGCATTTTAAGCCTCTGAAATGACTCCGTCCAAAACCCCCCTCAATCTTGAGGCCAGGACCTTGGCAATGAGCTTATACAACACTCAATCAAGCTGATAGGTCGAAAGTCCTTAATATCATAAGCTCCCCCCTTCTTAGGAATCAAAGCAATAAAAGAAGCATTCAGCGACTTTTCGAACTTTCCAGTGGGATGAAACTCATGAAAAGTGCCCATAATCTCCTGTCTAACCACCTCCCAGCTTTCCAGGAGAAAACTCATAGTGAAGCCATCCGGGCCTGGAGCTTTATCGACTTTTATCCTGGAATGTCCGTGGCCTCAATGACCCGGGCAAAAGGAAGGTGGTGAAGATGGCTGTGAGGAAATGGGGGGTTCATTTGGTGTGTCTCCAAGAAACGAAAATCGATTCTATGACTGATAGAGTTGTTAAGAGCCGTTGGGCTAGTAGGTTCGTTGAGTGGGAGGCACTTGATTCAGTTGGAATTCAGGGGGCATTCTTCTGATGTGGGATAGGAGATGGATGGATAAGATGGATGTGTGTAGGGGGCTGTTTTCTTTATCTTGTGCCTTTGTGTTGGAAGATGATGGTTTCCCTTGCGCTTTTTCTGGTGTTTATGGGCCGGTGGATGACTGTGAGAGGCCTGCGTTGTGGGAGGAGCTTTGTGCGGTTCAGGAGATGTGGTCTCTTCCTTGGTGTGTGGCAGGTGACTTTAATGTGATTAGATCCCCGTTGGAGAGGTCTACAGGTGGGTCTTAGACTCCGGCTGTGAGACTTTTCTCGGAGTTTATCAATGATCATCAGCTCATTGATCTTCCTTTGGAGGGAGCTGCTTTCACTTGGTCTTGTGGTAGGGAGATGCCTACTTTTTCACACCCGGATAGATTCTTGATATCTGGAGAGTAGGATGAGCAGTTTCCAAATGCAGTTCAGGCTGTGTTGGCTAGGGTGACGTCGGATCACATTCCTTTGGTTTTGGATTGTGGAGGTTTGAGTCCTCGTCGCACTCCGTTCAGATTTGAAAACATGTAGCTTAGAGCGGCGGGTTTTCAGGGTCTGGTGCGGACTTGGTGGGAGGAGGACATGGTGGTGGGTACTTCGAGTTTTATCCTTGCAAGAAAGCTTAGCATTAGCATGGAGTGGAGGAAAAATAGGGCTTTCACTGATATTGCAGAGTTTGATTGATTGGATGCGGTGGGAGGTCTTGAGGAGACTCAACGGTCTAGAAGAGCAGCTTGTCAGGCTGAATGTACTGAGATTGCAGTGATGAAGGAGATCTCATGGCGGCAAAAATCTCAGGCTTTGTGGCTCAAAGAAGGTGACCGCAACACTAAGTTTTTTCACCGAACGGCTAATGCTCATAGGAGGGGCAATCACATTGGTCAAATTCGGGTGGATGGTTCGCTATTGACTTCTGATGAGGAAGTGCGAACGGGGATTGTTTCTTTTTATCAGAGGCTATAGAATGATAAATTTTATTAGCAGCAGCAAACAAAAACAACAACAACAACAAAAAGCCTTTTTCCCAACTACTTGGGGTCGGCTACATGTATCCTATGTTTCCATTCCGGTCTACCTTACACTATAGCCTGAGTCAAATAAATTTTATTAGCAGTGTTCCATAATAAATGACCAGATCCTAAATGAAATTTGGAGATCGTACAAAACTAAGAGAGGCTATGGTGTTAACTCGAAAAGATACTTGGTTCACGATGGGACTGATTGATCATGATGGCAACCTCGGATGAAATTTCAAAATGCTGGAAGATCCAAAAGAATGATATTCATGAGGATGAATCAGCATGGATACCCTTGATATTTCTTTGCAATATTCAATGAGTTCTGCACTAAGATGACAACCACAATCCGTGTTTATACTAATGGCCAGGCCAAGTAGCACCCCTATTTTGAGAATTGTTTTGACTGAAGATTCCTTGTAGGGTTTAAGGTCAGCAAAAGTGGACCTAGAATGTCTCCCACTATCTTTTTGCTATAAAATGACCAAGCCAAGATTCTTGTGCTGTCTTTTCTCTCTCATTGAGAAAGTGATTGGCTAACCCAACTCACTTTAATCAATTAGAAAATTATTTGCGTCTGGATTTCTTTTATGATACTTCCTTGAACTTTTTTACGAGTTCAAATCTGGGGAAGCATGCTCAGTGGAGGAGTAGGCATACTTCAACCGAAGGAAGGAATTTTAATTTTAAATGAAGACCGTGTTTGGATCTTAATGGTACATAAAAATGAAGTATCAGCTTTAGCCAGACAAAAGTGCCAAGAAAATTTGTTCTTTTAATTTAACGAGCATTTTGCATGCATGCCTGTCAATTCAATGCAACCATCTGAAGATATGCTAAACATTAGATGAAACAGAGGCAGTAGCCATCAGTCAGCTTCAAAGCAGCCTCCAAAAATGAGTACGAAAAGGTGATTTAATCCATTTTAGAGAACACTGGTTCTTTATCAACAAAGCATTAATTGCTATGTGAATACCATGATAGCGTTTGTGTTACAAAACCCTACCCCAGATCTAATTTTTCCTAAAATTGAATAGAGACTTCAATTAAAAAATAATAATAATAAATACTCTGTAACATATAAATCTAGACTAAAAATAAAACCATGAAAATAAGGTTCTAGCATGTTGCTTACAGTTGAGTACAATTATTTATGAAAAGTGGCAGCTAAAAAAGGGGTGCAAAACAACCTTGGCCCTTTCACATATACCTACGACTTAAATTTACTCAACTATGTGGAATTTCGAAGGGCTCTTTTCCTTTATCTTTCTTTCACTCTTTGTATTGCTAATGAGGTTTTAAACCCCAATTGTGGCTGCCATCTCAATGAGGACATGGGGAGTTTAAACTCTTTTTCTGCTACTCTGCAAAGCATGTTTATAAGCATTATTGTCTCGATGACGAGGTACATGATGAATGGTGTAGATTTATCAAAATCTACAAGAGAAATTTGATTTTAAAAAAATAAAAATAAAAAAAAAGAGGAGAAAATCAGAATTGGATTCATGGATAATTTTTAAAATTTAATTTCAAACAAGAGCCAAGATCTAAGGTTAGATCTGGTAGATTTGTTGAATAGACATAGATAATGTATTCAACTACCCAAAGACTGAAATATAATGAGGGAAAGATTGCTGGAAATGAGGTCTCAAGTACTTCCAACCTGAATCTGATATACACACACACACACACAAAAAAAAAATGTTATATAAATCTATTGAACTATTTTATTATAATAATGAATATGTTATGTGTAAGCAAAATGGAAGTGTTGAAGTGTTCATATACTAGTCTTAAAAAAAATTAAACTCAAGTTTAATAGCAGTGACTTATATCCAGGACTTAGGAGATCTTCTGTACAATCATTTATATATAGAAAGAAAAAAAGTAACAATAATAAATTATGCAAAAGGTCATCTATGCCAATAATGAGGGAAAGAAGTAAAGAGGAAAAAAGAAGAAGAAAACTTGTGTCAGGTCTTGGTCTGTCGCATTTGAGATAGAAAATTTGCTATTCTGTACTCAAGATTATGTTAATATCATCATCATCGTTGTCTTTATCCCATATGGATGCAGGCATGATTATGTCTATATATTTGACGAAAATGTGAAACCTATTTGTTTTGGATTGTAAAATGCCAAGTGGAGCATGATGTCAAGCAGGTGCAATGCTTACCACCTCTAAAGCCACTGTAGCATCCTTGTGAGGGGTGTGAGGTGACATAATCCCAGCCTTCCCAGGTTAAACACTCAAAATGTGTTGTACAACATTATGATACATGATCTATCAATTATTGGTTTTCCGGTAAATGCTGTGGATTTTGAAACTTAGATATTTGGGAAATATCTTAATATTTGACATCTTAACAAACTTGACACCATCTTTGCAATTGAGAATTCAGTTATAAAAACTTATTGGATTTACCTATAGCGTTTACTCTTTCTCCACTTACATATTATGATGCTGAAGAAACCGAAATGAAAGATGTAATTTATTTGGCATGAGGATTTTCAAATTTTTAATGCTTTAGGACTTTTATCCTACCTTCTCAATGATGCTACGTCTCAGCTATTGAACACCATATTTGGACTGCCTCGGGCGGGCTTTGGAGATCTTCATTCTTGAATCTTTAAAAAGTGTAACAATAGTAGTTTTATAGTCTAAAAGAATGGTGTTAGTAATTAATATTATTATCACACCCTGTGCTTTGGATTTCCCTTGGGCCTATATCTTGTTGCTAGGATGGGCCTCTGGGCTCGCTGGATCAGGGCATGACACAACATTTAACACAAGTGGCCTAAATTTGTGTGTTGCAAGAAAACTGTTACTATGTACTAGCAATTTTTTGAGATAGAACATGGAGTATCAGTTCAAATGCAGCAACAATACGCTTTTAAAAGATAATACACTTCTTTTTCGAATCCATAGGGCATCATCAAATTTCATAAACAATATATAGTGTATGAGATAAAGGAAACTGAACAAAATAGATAAGAACAGCACATAACTCTCATCCAACATCAAAACATTCATCATCATTTTCTATCAATTTGCATTTTTCTATCAGATGACAAAAAATTAAAATTAAAATTAAAAAATAAAATATCGAAAATTAGAAGAAAACAGGAAACTCCTCCGGGAGGTTCAAGGAAGTAGAACTTAACTCATAAACGCTCTCCTGAAATTCTCTGGACAATGTTGTTAGCATACTCGATTCCACCGCCAAAAAATAGCATGTGACTGGAAATTCCAATTCACCAATTTTTGAGACCCAAAACCAGCTTGTGATTTGTTCTTGTAAAGTTGTCCAGGTCAGAAGAATCCCAAGTGTTACATTCATTCAAGCACCATTAACTTCATAAATCAACTTCACAATGCAGTACACTTTTACTTATCACTCAAATTGGTGCCTAATAAGTCACTCCCTCTGCAATTTGTCACTTCAAACACACACTTGGATTCAATCCAAGACCCTAATTGGTCCAACCCAATCGAATCAAACCCTAAACTCGTATGCAACATAGACGACGACAACGATGCCGAATAAATCAACTTTGAAGCCTCCTTCCAATCCACCTTCCTATCACTAAACGCAATTCGAGCATCTCTAAATGCCGGCAAACACTTCTCCTTCGCAAATTCACGACATTTCTCTTTAGAAGCCTGGACACAGATCGCCATTTCACGCTCTTCGCATTTTGCTCTCTCCATAAAGTCCATTTTCGATCTACCCAATACAGTTTTCCACCATGGGGGCTTACACTTGCTCGATGCGCTGATGGCGCAGCCGATTCGGGCACCGGCCTCGCACTGTGTGGTGATCTGGGACTCGCAAGCTTTGTATGCGGAGAACCAAGATTGGGCGTTCTTGAATGCCAGGACGAAAGGTCCGGTAGATGGGTCGTCCGGTGAACCGGCGGCGAGGGGTCCTCGGAGAAGAGGGACTGGACAGTCGAAGTTAACGATGGTCGATGAAGGTGAATAGTCGTTGAGATCGGTTGGTTGAGTATCCATAATTTAGGGTTTTGGAGAGCTTGGATTCTCTCGTCGTATATTGTCTTTCAGTTATTAATTTTTTATTATTATTATTTTTTGGCTAAAACAAATAATAATAATAATAATATTGAAAAAAATATTAAAAATTAAAGTGTTTTTATTTAAAAAATTATTTTTAAATGTGTTTGATAATTTAAAAGGTCTTTTAAATGAGAAAAAATTTAACTCACTACAATTTTTGAATGAAATTAAAATTTGAGTCTTGAATAGAAATTGAAATGAATAATTATGTGAAAGCAAGGTAAAAGGAGAAAAACACGTTGCTGCTGAATGACAAATACATAGTTATATGAAAGTGGGGAGGGGGATTGAAAAAAAAAAAAAATTTCAGTTGATTCAAATTTCTCCAAGTAATAAAAAGTAAAATAACTTTAATAAAAATAATAGTAATTAATTATTTAATGCAATTTAATTACTAAATTTTAAACAATAATTCTACTTGTTAATTCTCCAAAATCTTAAGGAATAAATTAGACGGGGTTTGGGCCGAATTGAAGTTGTTCACCCAAATTGCATTGTACACCGTACTTCGGTCGGATTCCAAGCTAAATAGGAAACAAATTGATTCCAATAATTCCTACAAATTTTGAACCACAACCGTTCTACCTTGGAACCGAACTAAACCGAACCATGAAAGACTGATTCGATTTGGTTCCTAACATGATTATTCTTTTTTAAAACCACATAGATTTGGCTTATGAAAGCAAATATAAATTTATACCGCAAATGGATAATAATAAACCTCTTAACCAAAGAAATATAATATATTTATACTATAAAAGCATACGAGCTTTTATCTTGTATTTGTGAAACAAATATAAAATTTGGAAATAAAAAAATATTTGGCAATAGCCTTATTTTTGTGTGTAGGCTAAAAATTGTAGTGTTGTGTACATGCGGGTAGTTTTATTATTGTTATTATTTATTTATTCATGGCAAGAATGTCAATGTTAAGGGTTAGTGGTTAGAGGGGATGGAGAATGGTGCAAAGCTCGAACGCGCTCTCCTAAACACACAGAGCAACCAGGGCCAACCCTAGGCATAGGTGAACCACGCGATCGCCTAGGGCTTCTTCTAATACCCCTAATTCTTAAAATAATATAACTGAAATTTATTTATTTATTTTATATGCATTTTTATTGATAAATGATTATAATTTCTGATTTGTCAATTATATGGATACGGATGGTTTAAATTATTCATTATTACTTTAACAATTTAAAAAGAAGACTTATGATTATACTGGATGTGTAATATAACCTTACATATATCAGATTTCTATTATATTTATTTCTGGATGGATTTGATGTCCAAATGTGTGTTCATCATTTATTGGAGCATTTGCATTATATGTACCGGTATGGGACGGTGACATATCAGGAATGGATTAGATCAAAAAACTAAGTCATACCCCTTCATACATATGGAATTGATTAACTAAAATAGTTAACTCCTACATGGATGCATATCCTGTCAACTAAAATAGTTAAACGACATAATGGATGGTTGTTTTACTTTTCTATATTAGGAAGGATTTAAATATATACTTATGATGCCATGATACGAGCTTGAGTCTCCTGATCACGGTTAGGGTGCGTATATCGCCTAGGATGGATTTCTAGGCCTAATGATGTTTCCCTGGTTGTTCTACTCGGGTTGAGACGGATTATGTGGGCTAGTGAACATCCTATAGTACGTACTTATATTTATATGGACTACTTTAGTTATTGTTGAGCTATCTATGATGTATTTGCGTATCGGATTTATGTACGGATTGTAATAGATTGGAACTTGCATGTGGGCCTGACCCACTCTTATTTTTCAAGTGTTCGTCAGTACCAGGCTTAGAGCTTGATCGCGTTGATGCAGATACAAACTCTCACTCTTTCGATTACATAGGATTTTCTTTCTTACTTTAGTTTTGGATTTTAATTTTGTAAACATTTTATCAGTTGGAATTATTAGGGGTCCACTAGATGGATTCCTGAGTTGTACGGATTTGAAGGATTTATATGATATTAATTTATTATTTAAAGTTTGAGGATTTTTATTTTAGATTTCTTTCAGCGTATTATTAATTTATTCTTAATTCAGTTTTTATTCCTGCTTGTTTACATATTAATTGTTTGGTATCTCTCGGATCTGTGCTCGGACTTGATCACCCGTGGCTCTAAAATCGAGGGGTATCACACTTCTAATTTAGAAGGGCCTCAAATTTAAGAGATCATTATGTAAATTCATTGTATATTAAAATGTCACTGCTTTCCATAGTCCCACGTAACAACAATAACCAATTAAAAGTCAAACACATGTACATTTCGGGCCATAATTTTCATAACAAAAAGACATAATTTTCATAACAAAAAGACAATACATGTAATTGCATATCATGTAAAATTATGGCAGTACCCATGAGCTCTCATTTTGCAGTCGTAGGATAAAATTTTTCTAGAGATTCGCAAAAGCAAACAAACGTTGTGTACACCATTTGCGCATAACACTCTCTCTCTCCCTATGCACTCAACCTTCCCACTCTTCCTCTGCACTCAACCGTCCCCATTCAAGTCTGGTGAGAGCATCAAGTTCCTGTAAGAAAATATATATTTCAAATGACATTTAAGATATAACTAATATTATACTAATATGCCATGAGATAATTAATAATATGTTAAAAAATAATTAATTAAATATGTAACTCGATATTTAATTAAATATGCAAATTAAAACAATAAAATAATAATAATATATAAAGAACCTGGACCGAGGTTGGTATTTGATACTATATCCTTAAGACAATTTACGCCCCGCATGGTATTAACGAACTCTGCGGCACTTGTCTTCTATGATACAACGGTCTACATCCACCAGTATTAGTACTATAAACTCATGGATTCAATGAACCTTCTCTGTGTAATACTCTGACTAAAAAATGCATCTATACTATATAAATGCTAAATTGAGTGCAATCCGAACTAAATAGTTTCAACCATTCTTAATATTGCTCGATGAAATTAGATTAGGGTCTAAGTGGCTCGGAACACTTAACCTATGGTTTGAACCCACTTGGGTTGGGTTCAAGTCTAGAGAGGGAAAAAGAAGAAAATGAATTAAACCAACGAAATATGCAGCCAAGGGGATATTTATAGATAAAATGGTGCCTCTTGGTTACTGGGTGTGTTTATTTATCACTGGACACAACCATTTATATGTGTCTACTCATCAGTAGACGCATCCACTCCAATAGATTGCAATGGTTTACATAGTGTCTATTCACCACTAGACACACCTACTTCAATAGATTGCAATAGTTCATATTAAATAGGTTATAATTGTACCTTTTCAACTAACACATTCACGCATATATTGTAATCCAATGCATCGTTTAAGTTTATTAATTGTTTTTAACCAATCCTCAACCACATTAAATATTAAGAATACTTTAAAGAACCGGTAGAGGTTAGGTTAAATAACCTAAATTTTGGACTTTGTAAGCAAACTTTACATTACAAACCTTTACATTAAAATATTCACGTTATATACATATAGGCACCCAGCTATAAATCAGTTGTTGACAAGTTTCATTCACACTGGAAACACTAGTTTTTGTAACTAGTTTCCAACAGTTTCAACTTCATGAATGCCGAGGAGAACTTATCATTAGCGACCCAACCACCATACAGTAAGTTTCTTCAACACATCATTACTCATCACGATAAGATTCAGTCCGAGGATTGCTTAGAACATACAAATTCCTGTTTAATACCATCGTCGGCGACTAGTACTTCATTTTGATTTCCAGCCTAAGACAACCCCAATAATTGCAGTTCGATTTCTGGTCTAAGACAGACTCAATAACTGCAGTTCGGTTTTCGGTAGAGACAAACCCAATAGCTTCACTTATGTTCTGACCGTTCCAGTTCGACATGCCTCTCTTCAATTCGGCATATTGATTGTGCTTAAATTCAAATAGAAAAGACATGAGTTTTAGGCTTCGAAAATTAGTCTAATTAGAGAATAAAGTTACAGCGAAGTTGCTGAGTTTTCTGGCAAATTTATTTATTTTTAACAAATAATAATAATAATAATAATACCATTTTTCACAATGATTCAAAGCTATTCCCCACATATTCTTCACAAGCAACGTGACAAACTGATGTTGCAAAAATCACAAATTTGTAAGTCATACAAGACTGTTGTTTGTGAGAATGTAGGGTGATTTTTTTAGAGATTGAGTGGTGAAGAGAGGAGATGCGTTTGGGATTTTTTTTAGGTTAATCTGTTTTCTTTTCTTTTTTCACTAGTGATACGTTATTCTCGCCGGCGTTCATGGTGTGAAACTTGGTGCTCTTGCCGGATTTTAATGGGGGCAGTGATGCTGGAGGAGATGCTAAAGTACTAGTAGGAGAGAATGCGAAGGGTGCGGTGGAGTTGGAGAGGACGAAGGCGAAAGCGATAACAGAATCGGGATGAAACTGTTCTGTCAAGATGAGAAGACAAATAAGGTGGAGAAGGAATAAATGATGGTGAAATTGGATATGGCCTGTGAGCAGAGGAAGAGAGGACAAGTTGAGCGGAGAAGAGAGTTGTGGGCAAACGGTGTATATGGCGTTTGTTTGCCTTTTTCGAATCGATATAAAAAGTTAAAACCTTATCCCATGGTTGAAGCTCGTGGGCACTGCTACGAGAGCACTCCCACCGTAGCATTACTCCTTGTAATATTAATTTATATATGTAATACAATAATTTACATGGCAACAATAATTTGTTTTTATCTGTTCCCTTTAAAAGAATTTTATTTTTTTATATTTAAACTAATAAACTGGTTTATTTTTATTATTATATTATTACATTATTTTTGGGCTTATGTGCATGCATGACATGCTCTGTTAAGCCCAATCCAAACAAGTAAATGTTTAACTCGTGGTGCAATTAACTGTTACATTATCCGAAATAACCTTTAAGATCTCTTAAAACATGACATGGCTTCAAACATTGATGAACTA